GAAAACGCAAAATCTGTCAACTGAAACGCTGACACCCCTGTAAGAATGATCAGAAATATAATCAACTGCGTTTAATATAGACATGCATTGTATCATTGTATTGTTTTATAAACAAAGGGAGACAACTGTAGTGTTTCTCGCTCAAACATTACTAATTTAATATGTAATTTCTAAGAATTAAGGGTTTGTATAAGTTTTCCTTTAATTTGTTTGATGTTTCCTTATTTCCTATTGTTGTCTTTTTGTTATTGACTTGAAGTGTTCTGACTTGTCACTATATGTTGATCCAGTGGTACATTTTATTCCTTTGTGTTGATGCTTTGATATATTTTGTCATTGTACTGTGTGTAGATCTAGAGGTTTTATTACCATTATTATGTATTGTCATTGTGTTGCTGTGCTGTGTGGGTGGACATAGATGGTTATTTCCCTAGGATTTCCCATCATATCTTGCCACCTTAAACAAGCAGCCCTAACTTGGTTTTCAGAAATATCATTTTCCTTTTTATTCTTTATTTTCAGAAACATGAATGAGGCTGAGAAGTTTGCGATCAACCGACTGCTGAAGGATTTGGAGCGAGCCTTGCCTCTCACACAGTCATTCCTCAGACATTTCGTAGACAAAAACATACTGAACCTTGACGATAAGAATAACATCGTGGTAGGTTAACAGTTGTGTGGAATGTTACTGTCAACTGTTAATTGAGGAAATCTATTTTCTAGTTGATTACATTATTGTTAAGTTTTAAATCCAGCAAATTTAATAATCCAGAGTTCATTTGTACAACTATTTACTAAAGTGTGTAGACGAAAGAATCTTATCTTTTTTCTTATTCTGACCACTTTTATATTATTGTCAAGCTTTAAATCCAAAGAATTTAATACTCCAGACTTAATTTGTATGACTAATAATCAAAGTGTCCAGACTAAAAAATAATCTTTTTTCTTATTCTGACCAATGTTGCTGTGTTAATCTCCCATTTTCTTATTCTGAATAATGATATATTTTTTCCTCACTTTCAGAAACAAAACAAGCAGTATGACCAGGTCCGGAAATTCCTGACATACATTCAAAAGGTCCCTGGGGCTTTCCTGGACCTAGTGGAGATCTTGAAAAAGGATAGAAACTGTCATTACATTGCTTGCCAGCTCGTCGACATCAAGAAAAAACGTGAACGTCACTTATCAGATCAAAGACAAAAGAAGCAGAAGAGACAACACATGAAAGCTCGGGACATGTTGTCACATCAAATCAGCAGTCGCTTAGCAATGGTTGTCAACGGCACCAAAATTCCAGGCATTGAAGTTCTTCCATTTGCTGTGCAAGTTAACGAACATGGAAAATTGATAGACATATTAGAATCTATGAAAAAAGATCTTGAATATCACGAAGGACCAAGTGAACATCTCTCACTTCCACAGTTATTTGAGAGAAAATCACGTCTACTTGAGAAACGTGCCAATGAGGAAGTACAGCGTACAGCAAAAGCTCAAAAAGAGGCTATGGGATACAAGACTAAATGTGAAGAATTGAAACAGGAAAATGATAGACAAAAGGTTGAACTTGCTAAGGAGAAGGAGAACATGAAACTGTGGCAAAATCGAAGTCGTGAGGAGGCCAAGGCAGAAAGTGATGCAAGAATTCAGAAAATCAAGGAAGAAAATACGAAAAAGCAGAAAAAGGAAAAAGAACAATGGGAAGAGATGAGATGTAAAGAAAAAATGAAAACAAACATAGAACTTCACAAATTAAAAAAGAAATATGAAAATCTGAAGAAGTCCTGTTTGTGTCAGGTCCCAAAGCGTGACTTCGGAGCTCAAATATCAGTTGGTTGTGAGGATGACTCACAAACAAGGGACTACGTCTACCACCACCCTTACGATCATGACCACGACCACTTCTCTCTCCAGGGATCCTGTAACCTGGACCAAATGCTTATCCCGAGTGAAGTGTACACAGATGGGTGTGGTTTCAGCCAACCTCAGTCCCAAAGTCAGCAGGACTATGCTGAAAACAGACCATGCTCCAACGAAAGTTCATTCGACTCCTCAAATCAATCAACAGCCTCTGATATTAACCTTCAGGGCAAAGGTACCGGTGAACAGAAACCAACTTATGTCTTTGTGAAAAATGTCAATAATTTCAATGTTATCCAAGGATCATAAACTTCTTCAGAATTTAACAATTTGTCAACAAAACATCACTGTCAACTGAAAATTCCTGCTTCATCAATATTGCCACATTTCCGGTGCATTTGTATTCTATATGTGCCATGTTACTTATGTAAATGTATGTGACATTTTCAACTCTGTGATTAACTCTTGCAGCTCTGCAATTTCTTGCTTAAAAATATTTAAAATTTGTTTTTACCTGAAATGGACATTTTACATAAAATGTCTTAATCATTACTGTAGATTATTTTTCATACAATATTTCATATTTCTGTGTAAATTCATACAAAACCTTACCGGTCAAATCTTATACTGTATTCGCCGTAACTAGCACCCTTCCCCCTTTCCTTTTCCAAACACTGTGTCTGGCTAACATGTTGCTATATACTCACTTTATATCTGACACTACAACAGTATCACAATCTGACAAGACTGTTTCTCAGTGTTTTTGAAAGAAAAAAAGAGAATAACTTTGAAATCTCCCTGGGAATGTGTTGCCATTGCAGCAACTATCACATTACCCATCTTAATCAGCACCCTATTCAGCACCCTGGATACAAATTACAGAGAATAAGGTAGATGATTTCTTCTTATTTGAAATTGTGTATCTGTATTGAATGAAATGTAAACTCTAGACCTTAAGAATAAGTATCCAAGTTGATTGGCAAATCTGTGAATGAAGTAGTTACAGTACCCAGGGAAATTAACTCATTCACCCCTGAAACTTCATAATGAACTATTCCACCCTTCGAATTGGAAGAGTTCAAATGTGTCTTCAGGGGTGAATGAGTTAAGATATTCACAATAGTATAGGATTCATTGGCTTATTTTTGTTCAATTGTGACTTTCATGTTAATTCAGGATTCTTAAACAAAATCTCAGTGTAGACAACTAGATTTACCTCGTTAATTTAGGTCTGTGCTTCCATTTGTAACAGGCATTATGACCGGAAATAGCGATTACTGATGCATTTATTTTCTATGATAATTTTTTAAATATCATTCATTGTTCTAAAATGAAGCCCCACCCCCTAATCAATCAATTTATATATTTGTCGTACCAAAGTTAATTTGTTTGACATGTGAATATTTTTTTTCATGTTAATTGTTTTCTAGTTATTATTTTTTCTGCTTTAATATGAGCTTTATTCGACTGCTTTGTTATTGCTTGCTGTTAATTAGGATCATATTTGCCAATTTAGTTTTGCCTTTCTTTTTTACCAATATTTTCGAATGAAAGGCTTTACGTTTTTTGCCAAGATTCTTATGTTTTTTTGCTCTTCCATTTTTGAAGTGTCATAACACAAAAATACGAGTTTTCCAGTGTTCAAAATGAATTTGGTCCCTTTGAGAGAGTTACTGCCCTTGAAGTTAAATAATTGGACCAGAATCACATTTTTAATACTGGAAATATTTTGTATTACCTTTGTATTTGTAGTGCCACAAACATTTCAGAATTATCTATCAAATTTGTGCATGATTTTTTTATTTCAAAATTAAGATACATGTATAAAGATATTTTATGCATGTTATTTGAAATATTGTGTGGAATGGTATATGGTGCACTAAACTGTAATTTGACAACAGGAGGCCATTTTTTGTCTCCTATACAGAGTTCCTCATTTTTTGGGGAAAAATTAGTCATAATTTTGTTTGCTAGATTTTTTTCCCCCAGTTGATACCTTATTAGATTTAACATGCAGGATCAATTTCAGTTTAGCATATGCCATTTCACTCGGTTAGCATTTGAGGTTTTTTATTCAATAAATATTTTAACTGCAAAACAAAACTTGTTCCCCATCGCTGCAATCCAAGGGAGATAACCAGAAAAAAACTGTTAAAAACCATCAACGTTATTAATTTAGTATTCATGCCTTCATTTTCTTATAAGATTTAACTTTCATCTTATTTTCATGTTAAGTTAGTCATAAAATCATGAATTATGAGTTAAATGTTACCTGCTATTATGATCACTGTGCATTGTATTTTCTCCCCATCAGACCATGTGGGATTATTGCTTATCACAGTTAGCAGTAATATTATAATAAATCAAATGCAATAAACATCATGCTTGAATCTGTTCACAAAATAACTCAATAACTCTCTTCAACAATGTTTTAAATTTGTATGGCATTAAGCAAGATTTGTTTCTTTTTATTGCATGTATTAGGTTAAAAGTAACATAATAATTATTTTCACATTTTTTAATTTCATTTTTATTTCATTTTTATTACTACACAAATCCAAAAATGTCTTCCAGCATGCAACAACAAGATACCATGATATAATTTTACTTAATAGTTCCTTGAACACTCATTAAATGAATCACTTGAAACATATAGAAAATGTTATGAACATTTTTTTACATAACTGAAAGGCAAACTAAAACATAATTAGCACTACATTAATCAAATTCTTGAGTTTAAAACTCTATACATTTTTAATTCATTAATGAAATGTACTGGAAAAATGGCATTTTTTTTAGTTTAAGTTTTAATCTATATTTCTTCACCAACTCATGTTAATAACCTAGCATGTCTTTAGCTCATATTCCATAAATTTGAATCCCCAAAATCTGTAACCACATGCTTATATATAAGAAACTTCTATGGCTTTTTCATATGGTATACATTGTATATAAACCCAACACCTTGATGTCTTGTTTTAAAAAAGACCAACACCATCATAAGTGTTTTTTATGAAACAGAAAACCTGGAACAGAAGTAAATACTTTTACTAACAGTGTGAGGTAACTACACCCACAGAGGCAAACTTACTTGCTATTGCAAATGACTGTTCCAAAACAACTCCTCACACCCTGCCATACCTCCCACTCACACCAACAGAAGGTTGATGTTTTCTCAGTAAACTTAATATTAAGAGTGGACCTGTCTCCAATTTAAAAATTAATTCTGAGTTGTTGTCTACTGATGATAAAAGTATCAGGAACAAACATTTTTCAGAGGGACATGCTAGGCCTAGACCTGACTGGTCACCTCCCAATTTCAGATGCAAGATGCAAATGATTATACAAGTTATCAACCAAAATGTCCTGGATTTGGTCATCGTCCGAAACTCACGTTCGATTGAACTAGTGTTCTAATCAAACATGGGTTTCCGACGATGGGATTTGGTTGATACATTATTTTTTTTATTTTTTTTTATCAAATATGAAATGACCTGAACAAATTACCTGGTATGTGCTTGTAAACTTTTAAAAAATCAGCTGAAGAAAGATTTACCTCCCCTTGATCAGAATTAATATACCACAACACTGATGTCAATTTGCCAATATTTTAAAGGGGCATCACGGCGAAGTAACTTTATTTTTTGTCTTTTTTTCAAATACTACATAAACATATCAAGTGAGACTCCTTATGGAAAATAACGATCGGATTTGGCTGAAATAGATTCATAAAAATGATTAAATCTAAGAAAATCATCGGTATTTCTACCTGTCTGACCAACGTTTTGTTCAGGGATTTCCCTCTACTAGCGCATGCGCATAGCACACCATTTCTTTGTAAACAAAATGACTGGCCGTGTGAAGTAAGCGAAAGAAAAGTGTTGTACCGTGTCAGCTACGAAACGAAAAGTTGCAAAATGGTCAAAAGATAGCGCAAGGAGTACGTTACGGAATCATTATTGCAGGTGGGCAGTATTCAAAGGAGAAAATAACTGCCGTAGCAGTTAGTACGGTGCATGTATTTTTCCGGATAGCCGGTTAAGCTGAAATGGAATCGACAGAAATACTAGCGCTGTTTATGTTATGAATAAATATCTAAAACTATTAAGCTCACTAGTATCTTTGTCTGAGTTTGAACACAGATGAACTTAGTTTAATATGTTAATAGGCATTTATCGGAGAGAGTTTACTTTGTGTTTCTATGATAATACAGTGATTTATGCGAAAGGAAGTGATAAGTGACTGGTTAGTTTGATTTTGCCATGAGGCCCTTCAAGGGATAACTGTTGTGAAGGCCTACAGTGTATTTTCGGGGTCATCAAGATACATGCGCTATTAGATTTACATAATTTATAATATTACCGGGTTCAGTAAAATGGTATGATTTGATTATATTGCTGAATTAAACGATTATTTTTGGTTTTACATGCAAGATTTAAATCAGAACTAATATGAATACCCGGCCTCCTCTGCCCCGGTATTTTATAAAAAAAAATCAGAAAGGTTTGTCCCATGGTTGAGGGAAGGTGTTTAGCCCCGTAACATCTGTACCAGTCACATTCTGGTACTAAATTCAATATATATTTATAAATATCTACTTTATGTGTATGCCTTTTATCATTGTTGACATTTGATTGTAAATGTATGATGGGAGAAGGCTGTGATAAATTGTAAAAACTTGTGCCCCATCCCTTGTTCAATTTTATTGGCAACAAATATGTTTAAAGCTAAATAAATTTAAATTATGAATATTGGCAAGCGTGCAATTAACTTCTGATGATGAATAATTACTGTTCAATAAGTTTGAATACGGACTCAGAAGTCATATTACTTGGTTTCATAGCGCGGTAAGAAGTTGCAGTTGCCTGACGGCCCCTCTCTGGGGGCCCCTCTGGAAACTGTTTCATCTCGCTCAGACAACTTGTGTTTACTGCCGAGTCAGGTGACGTTATCGGCGCTATTTTTAGCAGGGCTTTCCCGAACAATTCAAGTGGTCAAACTGGACATTTGGAACGGACTATGAATATGGAAATAGCGAGGTAACATAAGTGGAAGTGCATACAATATATACATTCATTAAAAAAAATATGTCTCTTCACGTGATGTCCCTTTAATAGACAGAAACACTGAAACTTGAAATCAGTATATTCTGGTGATTTTTGCTGCATATACAAGTGTTATCTCCTCATTCCTGGAATGTAATTAAATGATTTCATTTTGACGTTTGTTGTTGGGGTACATATTTATTTGGAACAACTTAACCCTGAAATTTGTTTGATAGTTTGGATTTTGATTCAGAAAAACTTTCCATCTTGTATATTTGCATTAGAACTATTGAAAAAGATTTTTTTTTTTGTCTGCAATAAATCACTAAGAAGCCAAAAAATGTTTATCATTATTATTTCATTTTCAATTCCGTATGCAATAAAAACATTAAGCATACTGCAGGCAATATGTTATTTTGTCAACGGGGCTAATTGGCCACTGGTTTTCTAGATCAGGAATTATGAATGAATAACGTTGTCGGCCTTAATACTCTGGACCTGGTCACATTGACGTCGACACTAACTGAAGAACCACCTGTGTTCCTAAGTCAGTGCGGTCAGCAGATCAGTTTTGTGCTTCCTGCTCTAGCCTATGGTATGCAGTTTTTTTTATATTTTGTGGCCATTTTGGATATGTTTACTAGACAGCCTCCACAGTTGATGTATTTCTCCACACTACCTTTACCTGGCCGTCTCACTGGGATCCTCAGAGTACTCCAAACATTAATTTTGTGTTAGGGTTGACTTTGTGTTCAGAGGTTAATTTGAGGTATTGTAAATGGCATTTTAGGAGATCTAGCATGAAAGCTATAGATCCAATGTGATTTACCTCGAACAAGATCTAGCATCACTGAAACCTTCAACCAGATTGACCCTGAGTGACCTTTGACTAAGTCCATCTTGAGTGACCTTGAACTAGATCTTGCATGAGTGAACTTGATAAAGCATGAGTGACCCATGTAGATTAAGCATGAGTGATGAGTGACCTTGAACTAGATCTAACAAGTGACTTTGAACTAGATGTTGTATGAATAAAACACACCTACCTTGTGTGTCGAGACGCTCCTGGCTGTTGACCAGCTATAAAACACACCTACCTTGTCTGTCGAGACGTTCCTGGCTGTTGACCAGCTTGTTACTGTAGGTGGAGAAGGCCTGTAGTTTGTGTTCTACCCTGGACAGCTGCTGCAGGTGCTGCTCTGTGGAATCTGACTGGATCTGAACCTTCCTCTCCTGGTCTCGCAACAACTTCTCTAGGGAATACTTTGATAGCTGATGGACATCAAATGGTTTAGAGTATTAAGCAGTTATTATTTCAAGTTATAAAATCTGTGTGTGGGGGATGTTTTGCAAGAAATGTATATCTCTTTATTAGCAACAAAGGATAATCCCAAAGACACATTAAATGCCCATTTGAAAGACACATATGGCTAGGCTGAAGGCACTGATGATTTTTTAAGTAATTCAAAATTGTTCAATTCAGCGCTACATAGATTTTTAATTTTTAATCAGATATCTCATTTCACATGTATTAACTTTATATCCTCAACCACCACGTAAATCATAGGTATGTTCCAGACTTTTTTCGATGTTAAGTTTGGACCCATTCCAGATGGGAACTAATGGTTTTTCTTCCCAACTCTTTTAAAATTTCTCAATTTGAAAAAAAATGTCCTTAAGACTTTCACAAGCCCCAGGTATATTACATGCAAGGTAGCTCGATATCACAGGTAATGTGAAAGGTAGCATATGTCCTTAACTCTATCACAAGCAACATTAATATAACTTGAGAAGTGTAAGTCCTTTAGTTCTAAACTTATAAGCCCCTGACCTGTAGCTTCCGGAGTTCATCCTTCATGGCTTCCATTTCCTTCACCATGGCCTCCTTCTGTACAGCATCTTGTCTCTGTAAACACAATGACAGAACTAGAACTGTAATCCATAGAAAAAGTTATAACCCCCCCGACCATTTGAAGTTTTTAATGCCAATCCAAGGCCATGGGATCCATCTAAAGTATAGATATTTGAAAGTCAGCCTTTAATGACAAAGAATATCCCCCATATGTATCTCTCCCACAACACATCAATAGTCCCAGAAAATTCAATTCAAGTTATAACCGTTATTGTTTCAGCAAATCAGAGGCCATCAGGTGGCCATCTTGAATACAGAAATGTGAAAGTCAGCCCTTAATGACAAAGTATATTCCCTATCCATCATTCCCACAAAACATATGTCAATCGAGATAAGTGATACTACTATAAAACACAAAGCTCTATAATCTAGTATCATGTTTTAAATCTAGCCAAAGGACTTGGGAATAGTGAGCTTGGTTACAGTAATAGTATGAAGCTTGGTTACAGTAATAGTATGAAGCTTGGTTACAATAATATTATGAAGCTTGGTTATAGTAATAGTATGAAGCTTGGTTACAGTAATATTATGAAGCTTGGTTACAGTAATATTATGTAACTTGGGAATAGTGAGCTTGGTTACAGCAATGTTATGTAACTTGGGAATAGTGAGCTTGGTTACAGTAATGTTATGTAACTTGGGAATAGTGAGCTTGGTTACAGTAATGTTATGTAACTTGGGAATAGTGAGCTTGGTTACAGTAATGTTATGTAACTTGGGAATAGTGAGCTTGGTTACAGTAATGTTATGTAACTTGGGAATAGTGAGCTTGGTTACAGTAATGTTATGTAACTTGGGAATAGTGAGCTTGGTTACAGTAATGTTATGTAACTTGGGAATAGTGAGCTTGGTTACAGTAATGTTATGTAACTTGGGAATAGTGAGCTTGGTTACAGTAATGTTATGTAACTTGGGAATAGTGAGCTTGGTTACAGTAATGTTATGTAACTTGGGAATAGTGAGCTTGGTTACAGTAATGTTATGTAACTTGGGAATAGTGAGCTTGGTTACAGTAATGTTATGTAACTTGGGAATAGTGAGCTTGGTTACAGTAATGTTATGTAACTTGGGAATAGTGAGCTTGGTTACAGTAATGTTATGTAACTTGGGAATAGTGAGCTTGGTTACAGTAATGTTATGTAACTTGGGAATAGTGAGCTTGGTTACAGTAATGTTATGTAACTTGGGAATAGTGAGCTTGGTTACAGTAATGTTATGTAACTTGGGAATAGTGAGCTTGGTTACATTAATATTATGCAAGTCTTACAGTTTTTTCTTCCAATTTTCTCATCTTCTCTTCAAAATTTCGTTTTGTTTCATTCAAATTCTTGTTGTTGTCTTCTTGAAGATTCTTTATTCTGGTTCCATCAAGATCCTGGAAATCATTTAAATGGCATGATATTAGAAGACAGGTTTTAAATAACACTGGTTCAGATTTAAATAATTAAGTTACACTTATACATAGTTCGAATTATAAACCAGTTGAAAACAGGATTTTGGAGAATTCAGGGAAGATTTTCTACAGATTGTGTAATTTTTATTTGTCATTAGGGCTTTTTAGGAAGGTAATCAAGACTATTGGGAAGGTCCTATAAGATCAAGCAAAAGGTAATACAACACAATTAGTAAGGTAATATAACATCATTGAGAAGGTAATATAATACCATTGTGGAGGTAATACAAGAGGCCCAGAGGGCCTGTATCGCTCACCTGGTTATCTAAGCAATCATGGCAAAATATTTTCCAAATGAGATCCAAGGGAATATGCCAGACCCTAAGGTCAATCCAGGATCAATTCTAATATCATGACTGCATTCGTCTCTTTTTGCCCAGCATTTGTATTTATAGTTTTGGGGTGGGGATCTCAACCGTTTCTAAGTTATGACCCCAGGGGTTAAGTCTGCAAAGGTGGGGCAGACCATGGGATCAATTCTAATATCATGAATGCATTCATCTCTTTATGCCCAACAATTGTATACATAGTTTTGGGGTGGGGATCTGAGCCATTTCAAAGTTATGACCCAGGGGTTAAGTCTCAAAGGGTGGGGCAGACCCCAAGACTATCCTGGAAGCATATGTGCATTCATCTCTTTATACTTAGCAATTGTATATATGGTTATAGGGTGGGGATCTCAACTGTTTCCAAGCTGTGACTAAGAAACTAGGTCCCTAGGGGTTCAGTCAGACCCCAGGGTCTATTCTATTATCATGACTGCATTCATCTCTTTATGCCCAGCATTTGTATATATAGTTTTGGGGAGGGGATTGAAACCGTTTCAAAGTTATGACCCAGGGACAATGTCTCCAAGAGTGGGGCCAGACCCAAGGGCGATCCTGGAAGCAACTGTGCATTCTTCTCTTCATACTCAGCAATTGTATATATGGTTATATGGTGGGGATACCAACCATTTCCACGTGATAAACTTATTTTGGCCCCACCCCTTAGCCCGGGGGGGGATTAGCCCCAAAATTTGTACAATTTTGAATCTCCACCACCTAGGGATGCTTCCAGTCAAATATGGCTGATATCCATCTATTAGTTCCAAAGAAGAAGTCGCTTAGAGCAATATAGCCAAATTGCCCCCTTTTGGCCCCGCCCCTCAGCCCCCTGGGGGGTCAGCCCCACCATTTGTACCATTTTGAATCCCTATCACCTAAGAATGCTTCCAGTCAAATTTAGTTAAATTCGTTTAAAAGAAATTGTTGACAGACGGACGACGGACGGACAGACGGACGCCACGGTATGGCATAAGCTCACCTTGGTCCTTCGGATCCGGTGAGCTAATAATACCATTGAGAAGGTAATATAATACCATTGTGGAGGTAATATAATACCATTGAGAAGGTAATATAATACCATTGGGAAGGTAATATAATACCATTGGGAAGGTCATATAATACCATGGAGAAGGGAATATAATACCATTGGGAAGGTAATATAATACCATGGAGAAGGTAATATAATATCATTGGGAAGGTCATATAATACCATTGTGCAGGTAATATAATACCATGGAGAAGGTAATAAAATACCATTGGGAAGGTAATATAATACCATTGGGAAGGTAATAATACCATTGAAAAGGTAATATGATACCATTGAGAAGGTAATATCATACCATTGGGAAGGTAATATAATACCATTGAGAAGGTAATATCATACCATTGGGAAGGTAATATAATACCATTGAGAAGGTAATATAATACCATTGGGAAGGTAATATGATACCATGGAGAAGGTAATATAATACCATTGGGAAGGTAATATAATACCATTGGGAAGGTAATATAATACCATGGAGAAGGTTATATAATATCATTGGGAAGGTAATATAATACCATTGGGAAGGTCATATAAAACCATTGGGAAGGTTATATAATACCATTGAGAAGGTAATATAATACCATTGGGAGGGTAATATAATACCATGGAGAAGGTAATATAATACCATTGGGAAGGTAATATAATATCATGGAGAAGGTAATATAGTACCATTGGGAAGGTAATATAATACCATTGAGAAGGTAATATAATACCATTGGGAGGGTAATATAATACCATGGAGAAGGTAATATAATACCATTGGGAAGGTAATATAATGCCATTGAGAAGGTAATATAATACCATTGGGAAGGTAATATAATACCATGGAAAAGGTAATATAATACAATTGGTAAGGTAGTATATATAAGGGCCATGGGAAGTTATAACCAAGTGGAAGATAATAAAAGGACATTGGGAAGGTAATATAAAATCATTGGGAAGGTAATGATTACATTAGTTACACTGTTACATTAGTGATCACTATGAAACAGTAGGATTAGCAGGGGGGGGTCGTATCGGTAGGGTTTTGTCCGTGTCATTTATATGTTAAGCCTAGATATTGTTCATGTTTACTTGTATATTTTTCCGTAATTAAACGTTATTGTGAATTGTTAGTTATAGTTGAGTTTTTTCTCCATCAACAGAAAAAAGTAGTACCCAATTCGATATTTCGAATACTACTAATTTTATATATTACTGGGCCTGTTTGTCCACTACAAATTTTATATATTACTGGGCCTGTTTGTCCACTACTAATTTTATATATAACTGGGCCTGTCTTGTACCTGTTACACTTACATTTTTTCTTTCAAGTTCATATTTTTCTTTGATTAATGCCTGTGTTCTCTCTTCATTTTCCACCTCATTTTTCTGTAAAGAGAACATATTTTTAAGTGAAATGAACTAATGATTAATGCATATTTTATTAGACACAGGTCCCACACATAGGTCATTTAGGACGTGCCAGGTTCTGATGGTGGAGGAAAACCGGGTGGTACCTCACTACCTGGAGAAAAACCACTCACCTGTGGCAAGTACCTGGACTGAGTTTTACTAAAGGTCGTAAGTCTGCACGTAAACTAAGACGTAAGTCGGGTTACAATTTTAGTTACGTGCGCGTTTGGTCCGTTTTATCAAAGGTCCGAACGTAAACGTAGGATTAGACATAATCTTGGACGTAGATTTACGACTGGAACTCTCCAAATTGCAGATAAAAATGACGTAGCAACGCATCATGGTACATGCGCATCGCATACTTTCACTTTAGTGTAAACATTCTCTGCTCGAAAACCATAATAAATGTCAACAATGTCGGAAAAGAAAACAAGAAAGCCTAATTGGACGGATTTGGAGATGGAGGTCCTGAGCGACGTGTACCGGGAATCCGTTAAAACCATCCGCTGCTAGTGAAGAAGCAGGAGTGGTCTAAATTTACTGATAGGTAAGCCTTCTTACATGTCAATATGTCGCAACCTCCTCATGTTTAACTAACTACAAAGTGTATTGTAACTACACACAAAGCTGTGTAAATTATTCTAAAGTTACAGTATGAGAAAGAATTTATCAACACAGAATGACTGAATTATGAACGATTTATTAAAACTCAGCACAAAATGCACCCCCCAGTGCCTGAAAGGGACGATCGCCCACTCGGCAACGGCGATTAAAGTCTTGCTCCGGCGACCAAAAGTTGTCAAAAGTGAGGTAGTCATTATTGGCCAAACAAAAAAATAGTTTGGGCGACTGCCGAAAAATCTGAGAATAAAACTAATTATAGTCCCTTTCATATTAACTGGGGGACAGTACGTTTTGCAGTTGCCATTACTTCGATACGAAATAAACTGTCCGTGGATCATCTTTACGCTCCGTAAAAGTACGGCCAGGGGTGTCTTCTTTGAAGTGCAAGTTTTGTGTATTTTCTTTATACTAAAGACCTGAAGGGAGTGGATCATGTCAGATTTTAACTAGGGTTGAAGAATTAAAAATATAATGTTTTATTCTGTTTTACATATTACAAACATTGTCATATTATATGGGATTTTAAATGTCCTGAAGCATTGTGTTAAATACTGTGGAAATATTTCTTTCCAAAATTATTGGGCCACCAACATGTCATTTGGGGCCAGTGCTTCAAATATTTTACTCGTCCATATTTTTTATCCCCCAAAGCAGCTAAGCTGGAACACTACATTGAAGTTATTCTATAATTATTTCTAATATCAATATTGAATTGTTCTTTCAGAGTTAATGCTGTGTCCTGTCAGTGCCCCCGGACTGTGGAGGAAACAAGCAAACGGTGGCAGGATGTGCAGAGCATCGTGAAGAGGAAGGAATCTTCAAGGAAGATTTCGCACTCCTTACGTCAATAACAGTAACTTCAAAGTTGACAACAATCGAATTGATCATGTCACGATAGCAAATGTTGTTATAGTCTCACAACAACATTTGCCTTCTCAATGCATTGCAATGGGATTATACAGAGCAAATGTAAACAATGGCCCTTGCATTGATTAAAAATCCATACTAGACTAAGAACAATGAACTATTAAGTTAATTACTTTGACATTGGATCATCAATTGTGAAATATGCTATATATAATTTTATGCTAAACTTACTACAAATGCTACTGTTTTACAAATAATTTGGTGGGTGATGACCAGCTGCAGGATGCTCTTGAGGAAGAGGAACATGGATGTCCATTGGCCATTTGTTGTTAATGTTTATGTATCAATTAAGTAAACTAAACGTATATATACATACATTTTTTCAGTTATCATTATAGAGTTGGTCTCACTCCATGTTAAATAGTTAACACAAAACCGAGGTTAAATTTTGAATTGTATTGTTGTATTTTAAATTTTTCAATTATAAATTAATTAAATGATCTCATGACACAAAAATAACAATTAAATATTAAATGGTATATCAGATTACACACTAAATGTGTTGTAGTAGTGGGAAGCAATACTGCATACATCATGTGCCAACACACAAGTACCGGTACATGTTTAATCAACAAATTACCTGTATGTTGATTGACTATGTCAGCTCTAATTGGAGTTATCTACCTTAGATATTCATAAATATCAATATTTATACTTTAACAACCAGGTACATTAAATAAAGGACAGACAATTATTAAAATTATGCTCTAGATAAATAGATATGTATTTTTACATACAAGTATGACATGAATTAACAAATTTACAGCTCATTACATTGGATGTAATACCTATGTCATATTGAAACAAATGTAATATTTAATATAGAAAATACATTGGTGAAAGGATTATTCCATGAACAAAATTATTTGATTTATAATCGCTTTAAAGTGAAATATATCAGAAATACACTGTATGTGCAGGTTACACTCTATTATAAAAACTTGTACAAGTGAAGTGTTTTAATAAAATATGAAGAAGGAACATTTACAAAAATAGTTATGTACACTGTAATGGTGATTTACCAATAATTTCATAAATACAGAATTAAAACAAAAGAAACCAATTAAGTTTATTTATCTCAAAAAAATGTAATTCACTAATTTGAATATTGATATGAATTACGGCAATAATGGAAAATAACTATAAATAAATACAAAACACATGAACCATAGATGTATGAATGCTACTACACTGTACACACAAACACATTTCATCAACACATGATAATTAAATACAGAATGTATATTTCAATAAGCAAGAAAATAACAGAAATATTCACCATTATCATGAAATTAAAAGTTTACTTTCAGTTGTAAAAGGACGAAAGAAGAGGAAGGCAGTGGAGGAAACCAGTGCAGGTATATTAAATGTTCTCACACCAAAAGATGACCCAAAATATTACAGAAAGATCCCGTAAATGTAGGTCAAAATGACTTTAATAATGAGTTCAGTCAATTTGAAAATTACATTTTATTATCATTTCCGATAATGAATTTAACAAAAAGTTTTTTAAGATGCATATTATGATGTGTGTATGTACAATTTATATAGATCAGTTGGAACTTATGATCCTTATTTTTGTAATACATGTATCATATTATACAATTGTGGAATTTTTGTATCACTATTTTTTAAAATTTAGATGGCATTAGAGAGAGCTGATTGAGCTTAAGAAGAAGAAGCTTGTTGTACAGGAACGGATCGCTGCGTGGTTGGAACGTATTGCAAATGATTTAGAGGGGGGAACGATAATGTGAAATTAAGTTTTTGTCCTGTAGTAAAATTCTTTTAGAATCTAGCAGCAAGTTGAATCCTTAATCCATTCACCCCTATGTAACTTTAGTAGACTCTACCATGCATTGATCTGGATGAGTCCATTATGGTCTACAGTGTTGAAAGGGTTAATTGTCAGTACACACAGGATTGGTGGTCAGTGGTATGACATGGTCATCTCCATCTTCTCTTAAGGGCATCTTCTCTGACATTGCTTTATTATGAAGACGAAAACATGTTTCCACTATCCGAGAACACTTTGAACGGAAGGCATCCTCCACTCTTATGAAGACATCTACAGGAAAAGATTGTTTAAACTAGAAAATGTTTGTAAAACATACAACAACATATGCTATTCATTAGTCTTGTAAAACAACAATTTGTTATTATTTTGATTGTTTTGATTTATTTTAGTGTTTTTTTATGTAATTTGTTACTCATAAAGTGTTCGACTTATATTCCAGATATTTATTTGTGGCCGAATCCATATTCCGGATTGTAGAATGGACCGCTACCAACTTTCTGCTTAGTATTGCCATAAGTAGGACAACATGTGGGTCTGGTAGTTGTGAGAATCAAGAAAAATCTGTCCAGTCTTTTACACAATCGTGTATATGTTCTTCAGACAGTTTATAACCATTGTAGTTTTTTGTTTTTGGTTACTTGAAACAGTATTTTGTAGATATTTTTCCATGTATTATCAATATAATCAAAATAGTTACTCCATTTCTTTCTACCAGTTGACAGTGTTGCTTTGTAAAAATGATACACTGTCAACTGGTAGAAAGAAATGGAGTATCATTTTTACAAAGCAAACTATAAAAGTCTTTTGTCCCTTTCCTATTTCTTAGAATTATTTGTATACCTATTACTGGGTATAAGGATAGCTTATACATTTTATTTCATGTTGTTGAGAGAGATGTCTTTTAATTGTAGATAGCAGACCTTGGTACCGAAGAAAATTTGTTTCAATTTTAAAAGTTTGTCTAACTTCTTGTAAAGTATAAAACAAGTTTGTATTATTATCCTTAAGTAGGTCATTCACTATAACTACTCCTTTTCTGAACCAGTTTCTATAAACCAGTTTCTATGAAAAATACTCTTATTATTTATTTTAAACAATTAGTTTCTTTTGGTTAAATTGGTTAAAGTTTTTGGGCAAGTTCAACAGGTTAAAGTTCTAGGTCAAGTTCTAGTCCCTTTGAAACTACTGGGCACATTTCAACCAAATTTGGCAGTAAGCATTCTTAGGGGAAGGGGATTCAAGATTGTACATATGAAACCCTGACCCCCCCTCCCCACCCCAGGAGACAGATGGACGGGGCCAAAGGGGGTAAATTTGATGGTATGCCTTTAAATGACATTGCCTCTAAAACTACTAGGCATATTTCAACCATATATAGCAGGAAGCATCCTGAGGGAAGGGGATTCAAGATTGTACAAACCCTGATCCCCTTAAGAGACAGGTGGGCGGGGCCCTAAGGGGGCAATTTGACAGTTTGCCTATAAAACAACAAAACAACATCTCCTTCAAGGTAGGAACTTGAAACATAGGGGCCGGGCCAGAAGGGGTGGGGGGGCATGGGGGTCAAATTTATCTTTTTAAATATAGCATATCAAATCAAACATTTTCATGAGTTCTACATTTAACAGCAATTTATTTTAGCATATGATGATGGGGAGGGGGTACTTAATTACCAGGTAAGGAGTCAATAACTTTTTCTACACTGTTTGAGGTAGAAACTTGAAACTTTTACACATGATAGATTTATGTATGGAGAAGTGCACAACACTTTCTGATTTTTGATATAACCCCCAGGAGCCTGGCCAGAGGGGGTGGGGTCATGGGGATCAAATATTTAAAAAAATAGAGCAGAACATGGGTTTAAAAAAAAAAAAATTATAACACAACAAGTGATGACTTATTATATTTACAAATGTTGGCAATAGACGAGCTATGCTGTTCTACGACAGCTCTTGCTTATGTAGATAACACAAGACGAAATTGGATATCATCCGTAGAGAGATATCCACACATGGATATAGATGTAACAGTTATCATGTTTCATTAGGATTAATTAAATTGAAAAGAATTACTGAATTTGACCTTTTGATTCAACGATAATTTAGTCTTTTTACCTCCCCAGGAGAATACATTGGAATCGCATACCTGAATCTCGACTTCAGGACACCAAATGCCCTCTCCACAACAGTCCTTGTCTTACAAGGAGCCTTATTGTACTGCTTTGGTTGATCAGATACAGGTGTCTGAAATGGTATCATCAGATACTCCTTTAGAGGGCAGCCAGAGTCCCCTAGCAACCACCCTCCTTCTGGGATATTTTGAACTATATCTGGCACATTTGATGACATCAAGATATAGGCATCATGTGTTGCTCCAGGAAACCGACAGTTGATACTGAAAAACCTGAAAAACGAATGTTTCTTTTAAAGGTATATGACTTGTCTGCCTGTTTTGTAACTGAAATGTATGCGTAACTGTCATATTGGTGTTGTGCTACATGTATCTATTATCCGAGTTACCTCTTCATTGGTATAGTCACATTTTCAAGGTGAAGGTCATCGTATTTGGCCAGTAGCTTCCTGGGATAGAGCCCAAAAATGTTTGCTTATGAAAATGACCTTGACTTACTTTCAAGGTTGCAGTGATAAAATATGTTGAAGACATCAAACAACTTCTTCTTCAGAACTGAAAGTTATATCAATATATTTACATTTGCTCTGCATTTTCCAATTGTAATGCATTGTAAATATAAATAATGAATATTTTAGCAAATGTTACGGTCCTATAACACACATTTATATTGCTGACAAACTTACATAAAGCCCTAACAAGCTTTATTAAGTTAATCAGCAATAGCAATGTGTGTTATAGGACCATAACAACATTTGCTAAAACATTCATTGCTTATAATTAATTGATAAAATTTAAAATGAAAATGTTGTTAACTTGTTAACATGGGTTAAGTTGTTAAACTGATTTACAGTATGGGCCGTATAGTGTTTTCCTATCACTTTCCATGTAGTACACGTATGCATATGACTGGGTTATATACTTAACGGTCCCATACTGCTATCAGTAACATGCAGCAGCTCATTATTAATCCAACGTATTTGTATGAATTCAATTTATTTGTATGACAGTGAGCAAGTTATAACTAGGGTTGTTCATTTGTATGTTGCAGCTCAGTAATGGGTCAATAAATCTGTTATCTATCTACCAAATGATGTTGACTTGTTTACTGAGGCAGAATACGGTTTCTATCCATGTCAAACTTTGAGTAAGTATATATAACTATATAGTACGGAGGTATCGGAGTCCAGCATGTTTCAGTGCAAGGATTCACAAAGAGATCAAAGGTCGAAATGTGATCTGGTTGCAAGATCCAGATACAACCGTCAGTATTGAAACAATTACTGATTTGACATTTTTATCTTTCATTTGTAACTTCAAAATTAAAATTACATTTGGAATGCAATGTCTGATACTTCTGTTTTCAAAACAATATGTCTAGTACCAAGTATTTGATAAAAGATGATATTGCCTATAATGAATCTATTAATTGAATGGTATATGCTAAATATAACGTGTAAATAGACTGAACTTGCATACGATAAAACTTTTATTTTAATGAGAAATCCATGTTATTTGTCATTTTCGTGTCTGAACACCTAGCTTCTTTCTTAACTGGCTCTATTGATATTGTTTATTGCTTACTTCATTTCAGCATCCACAACTCCTTGAATATTTAGATCATGGAAGTTTTTCCTGCACACATAAACCGGTTCGTCATCTCCAGACATGCCATGTATCGGGATTAGGGTCCCATCAATAGCTCCGATGACATTAGGGAAGTTGGCGATACTATGGAAGTTTTATTTTATTTTTCTTATGTCAGCAATTGCTGTTGGATACTTGATGTTATCTAAAAAGTTGCAAAGAGCGAGGCAAACTGAAGGTATGATTATGGAGACCGAAGATTTTACCCATGGATATCGCCAACTTCTGAGAAGAAATCAGCCTTGGCAAGATATCTTAATGTGATCAAAACCTGGAAAATGCAAATACGGCCATAATTCTATGGAAGCACCAATAACAAAATAATATATTTTACTGTATTTTTCTTTGACCAGATCAGCTAGTTTTGGTAGTTTGTAATAAATAAATAAATATAAATATATATAAAACATTTCATATAGCGCCCTATCTAGCTAACATAAGCCACTCTAAAGCGCTTCACAGTACATAGATATTCAATTTTATACAGTCAATACAATTAGCATATATATTAATCAATACAATATTGAGAAATTTGCAGAATCTACAAGATATGGATATCATATAATTGTCTTGTCATGTCAAAGACATTGTCCATCCTGTATGCCATTGATTGGCTGTATTATACACACCATAAATATATGTACGTGTATTGTTGTTGTTTTCTTTTTCTTAGCATTCAAGCATTGAACTGCTTTCAGTTGGCATTCATAGCTAAAATCATTAAATGAGTGACAATTGGAAATGACAAATTTCATTATGAAATTCTAAAAAAGGACCAGTCTAAAGATGTCAATTTAATGGTGGTATAAATTTGTTCCTCAATTGAGTCAGTTTGCATGAAAAATGCTGAGGAAAGACTTGCGAAATAAGGAAAATATTTGCCTAAATGATATAATCCCCTGCATGTCAGGGAATTATAAAATAATATACCTGCTGTTACACATCCTTAAATGACCTTAGCTGTTAATAGGACGTTAAAACAAAATTAAAACAAACCAAACATGTTTATAAAAGGTGATCTTTTCCGTCTTTGCGTATTGCAGAGTTATCTTCTCCTGTGAGCAGGTATTGATTGTTATGTCATTTGTTTGTGAGAGTAACGTTTGTATCAATTTTTGAAAAAACGACGTAATTTTCTCACACAAACCAATGACGTAACAATCAATACCTGTTCACAAGAGAAGACAACTCTGCAATACACAAAGACAGAATAATGAGTGATCCCTGCAGAATCGGGGCTGTCGTCTGTGTCCCTTGAGCACACGGTAGAGATAAAATATATGCTGCCCCATTGCAATACTTATGATATTTTTCTTTTTTTTTCTCTCGCCTACACTTTCTTTTTGGTGGTTGATCTTAACTATTGTGTTGGTATATATTTCCCAAATAAAAATACAAATATAACTAAAATGTAGTACAATGAACTCTGTCGAATATAAAAATATTGATACCATTTACCATTGGTGTATTGAGATACCGGACTGTGCCGGGGTTTTTTTTCTGGTTCTACAGCACTGTGATTAGTATTACCTATGAACGCCCCCTATGAACACATGCCTACTTCCGCTGTTGGAAGGAACTTGAATTGCTGTTATATGTAATCGTACCTGCATTTGTGTAGGGATGGCGTGTGACCTCCCTGTTACAGGGGACACATGGTTGTTAACAACATCGACCATTTCCAGAATAATATTCCGTGTAAACCGGTTGCGGCTGATCAATTCCTCATCACATAATATATCAAGTGGCTGACTCCGATCCCGGGAGATGCAATCTCATCTTATCTTTACTGCCTGCTGTTGTTGCAAAAATAAGAACGCGGCCATGTTGATGTTTACGTTGTAATTTTACGTGTAGATGTAGACTTACGTGTGAACTTATGTGTGCTCAGAGGCAGACGTAGACTTGCGCGTGCTCAGAGGCAGAAGTAGACTTACATTGTAACTAAAAAGTAAAAGTAAAACAGATTTTTGACATAAGTTACGCTTTCTTCTACGTGTGGACTTATGACCTGTAGTAAATCTCAGTCCTGGCAACTGCTCCACTAAGGCCTCAAACCAACAACCCAGTGTTGAAGGGCAATAGTAATTGCAGACACCTTAACCACTCGGCCACCGTGCCCCCTGAACAGGATTGTTATATTAAACCAAAGCAGATTTTTGAAACTAAAAAGGAATACAGAATGTCCTTGCAAAATGAAAATGGAAAAAAAAACAAAAGAAATGCATTACCCATGTTGAAGCTTTTGTTTCGAAAAACTGTATAATTTACAGTCAAAAAATAATATAAAATGACGAAAATCAGAAATTAAAATCTAGTATATTGGTTAAATGTAATATTTTTTGTAGTTCTTTACAACTTTTTATTTTATTGACCTACCCTGCGGAGTTTGAGCTCCTCCACTATCTCTACGAGGCTGGTCCGGAACCTAAAGCTGTCCACTTGGTTGATATGGAATTGACTGGATACTGATGCTGACCAGGTATTTGAAGTTGCATCATTCTTGTCACCTGTAAAATCTATAAAACACATGGGTTTTAATAATACTTACACATGCTCACAAAATTAAGTAAATAGACTTTTTATCAATTTCATTATATCCCAATATCAATTTAATGATTAATTATTGATTATTATAAAAACAAATTGCAATTAACTATTATGCAATAGATTAGGGGTCTTCAAACCAAACCATAAGCATTTAAGTTGAAATTTGTTCAGCTGTGGGTGTCTCTGGATGATTTATGACTTACCCAATGAGTGGATGCTGGTGTAATTCTGTGTGTTGGATATTTGCTGACTGGATGACAAACTACCTGATTGATGGAGTGCCATGGATATTCTTGAACCACTGAAAATAAGTTATACATTTAGAAATTTAAGACGGTCCCCACTGAATATATCTTAATTACGCTGGACATCCACCCTCATTAAACCTTCCTTTGGAACTAAAGTGTTAATTCTGAGGATTCTAATGGTAAAGTTAAATATAGATGATTCCCTAGTAGGAATAAAAACGGCTGAGTATCTCCAGCACTGTATTGCTGTGACAATTATTGTTAACGAACCATTTCTTAATCTAACATTCCGTAAGCTACCAATATCCTTTTTTCTTATTTTTAGTTACAAAACACTTGAAATAGGTATTTTCATTTTCACACACTCACTCTTATCTTGCATCATGATTGTCATCATCACCATCAACATCGTAATCATCATTTCATCACTATCGTATCATCATCACAAGACATCCTTTATCATCAACAATGTCTTATCATGATAAAATACTATCCGTTTTAGCAACAAGAATTTAATTAAATATATAAATGTTAAATTCTCAGAAAACTTACAATCAACTTGGCATGTGTACTCATCCGTCAAAACTGGTGACATTCGGCGTTCTCTGGTTATTCTCAGTTAAACAGACCTATATACGACCTCTTACATATATTCCACAAATCAATCGACGTCGCCAAACAAAATGGATTAACAATGCAACTTACCTTTCTCTTTACCTGTATTAAAAAAAGAAATAAACCATTCGGCAAGCCGATCTATACAATCGTCAATCCCGCGGGATGTCACTCTCGGATTATCTCGCGCATGCGTAATAGGAATTTAAATAAGAAATTTACTTCACGAGGTGCAATCGGGAACCGTCGGCACTTTCCGTATTTTCTCGTTTACGGAAAGTGCCGACGGTTCCCGATTGCACGAGGTGTGTGGACCTATAGTGTAAAACATAAAAACAGTCTACAATCCAAATATTTACCTCTATGGAACCCAAGACTTTCTAAATAAAAAATCAAATCCATTTGTTACTTAGTTAGGGAGGCCAGAGGAAAACAGGAAGTTATGCCACTGTTTAAAAAAGGTGACACTGGGCATTCTCCCTCTATGATCTCTAGGCTATCTACAGTAGGAAAAGTGTTTGAGAGGGTAATTTTCAAATACTTGCATAATTATTTTATTGAAAACTCACTTTTTTATAACCAGCAGTCTGGTTTCCTGCCTGGTCATTCTACTGTATATCAGCTTATTGAAATGTATCATAACATCTGTCGGTATTGCTTCTGCATGAGAGGGGGACACAACATGAATGTATGGTATTCTGCGATATTTCTAGGACTTTTGATCGGGTTTGATGATTAAGTTAAAATACTATGGAATTTCAAGGGAATTGTATCAATGGTTGGAAAAATACTTATTTCAGGGAGTCTTTTTGAATAATTTTTACTCCGACTTAGGTTTCATTGAAGCAGGTGTTTCTCGGGGTTCGATTCTTGGCCCTCTTTTGTTTCTTATCTATATTAATGATATTGCTGATGTGTTTGAATCAACCTCTCGTCTTTTTGCAGACGATACTTCTTTGTTAATATCATCCCCTTCATGTCTAGAAATCCAAACGATTATGAAAAGAAATCTATGAAAAACGATCTATTCCGAATTAACCTGGTTGATGACCAACGTTGTATGCGTGGTTACCCTATTGAAGTCTTAATTAAGTAGAATAAAATACTTATTAAATCGAGATAATCTTTTAAAGATTTATAAATCACAGAGACGTATACACTACTATATGGCTTTATATTCTCTGTAAATCATTTATTTTACCAGTTTTTAGAATATGCGGCTTGTGAATTGTGGGATGGTTGTACAACTTATGAAACAAAAATGTTAGAGAAAGCCCAAAGAACAGCTTCTCGTATTATAACTGGTCTTCCTTCATATACCCGAATTGAAGACTTACTTTTTGAAACTGGTCTAGAAACTCTTTCGAATAGAAGAAAACGCAGAAAACTCCAACTTTTGAATAAAATGCACAACAAATTAACGTCATTTCATTATTTTGCCTTATTTCTTTGTTACATTGATTCTGTTCATTTTGAAATTACTCTACCAGGATGCATGTCATGAAATTTGTATAATTTATAATTTATTCAAATGCGGATCGATTTCACAGTTTACACGTTTACTTTTCTAGGTAACACCCCTCCCCTCTATCACCCCACCCCCTCCCACCCCACAGTTCCTTCCTTCCTCAACCTATCTTTTTCCCTTCCCCCAAAATCATATACACTATTTTTACAATATGTATTGAGGAGAGGACTCTATTAAGTTGTAATAACTTGTTGTCCAATCCATTTGTATATTTGTATAATAAGATATGTTTAAACTAAACAAAAGGACAAATACGTCTGTATGATTATCTGAGGAATGGTTAAAAGTTATCTGTTGGAAGAATGGATGGTTGAACTTACCCCGCCTTGGAGCAAGTTCCACAATGGAATCAGCATAGTTATGACGTCATAAAGCATGCAACTACATATTTTCCCCGCCACTGTCACAACTTTCCGTGTATTTCCTGACCGAACCTGTCCTAAAATTGATATTTCGGCAATAACTAACAGAAAGTACTAGGCTTTTATGTAAGCCGGCAAGACTGGGTCAAGATGATTTTTGTAGTTTAGTTGAAAGGGCGGGAAAGGGCGGGACATTCACACGAAAAATGGTAAGGAAATATCAATTATGAAATTACTAAAATGCAAAAAGTCACTTTTGAGGATGGAAAATAAGATAATGACCACTCACTTCCTTCCCGGGCTTTTTAGCGAACTTTCTGTAATCCGACTTGCTACTTAGACGATTCGGCAAACTGATACCGGGAAAAATTCGGCCCATGCATGCAACACAAAAAAAGTCGTGAAGTCGGCGGGAAAATCTGATATTGCATATTTTCACAACGTCGTAATTATATGCGGATTCCAACTTGGGTCGACCGTACCACAGATAACCTGTATGAACTACGTGTAGTCCCAAGGCGGGGCATGTTCGGCCATCCAATCTTCCGACAGAAAAAGTTAAATAATTATTCAAATACGGACGTGTTTGCCCTTTTGTTATAATTTTATGAAAAGCATGGAATCCACATTCATTTCAACAAATGCCATACTGCCCAGAACGACTTAATAAAAGTGGCCCGAACTTATCTAAGTCTTCCCTATACCAACATGCGAAGGTGAAAGTATGTTACACGTACATGATTAGCAAATAGGCTTCAAGAAAGTTAAAAAGAAGTGAGGTAATGATTTTCTTTCTACCCTCCCAGCAGTTACTTTCTCCCTTTCAGTACTTCACGAATTAATTTTAACACCTTGACTTTCGTGTTAATGTCCCGTCCAGTCAACTGAACTGCTACGATCATTAAAATTGTAAATGTTTGCTAAATACCCAAAGGTCTCCCCTTAATAGAAGTAAAGTGATACCCAGCTCTACTGATCATAAGATACTTGTCAGCAACATTACTGGAAATAATTAGTCTAACATGCGATGTTTGTTTGTTTGTGTTTAACGGCCCATCGACGGCTGTGGTAATTTAGGGCCATGGTGATTTTTTGATTTTTTTTTAAACAAACATGTGAGTGGCGAAGATAAAAATGTTCATAATTTTAAAAGCGTTCGCATTGTATGTGTAGATAATTAAAATAAAAAATGGGGTTAAAATAATAAAAGAGATAACGAATAGATGATATGGACTATGTGATATATATAACGTCAAAGTGGGTAAGATTGGTTTAAAGACATCAGAGTCTATAGAATAGACCGATGTCTTTCAAATAGTTAAATAATGCCTTCGAGTCCACGGAACTGAAAAGAATTTTCCTATCCGGGACTCGAAAGTAGTTACCACGAATGTGGCATGAAGGTGGATCAGTAGGATAGGTGTGCCCAGTACGGAGCCGAGATAGGACAAATTCCTCTCTACGATCTTTCCTACTGAGCACAGATATTTTAAGTTTCGGTTGTACTTTAAAAAGTTTGTTGCTGGATTCGAGAGACCAGCGTTGCTGCCATTCATTTTGAATGGCTGTACGAATAATCGGTTAAAATCTGTATATGGTAGTTTAATATTTGTTTGCTAGATAGTTAACGCATATTTTGCTCCCCTATCAACACATTCGTTGCCTTTAATTCCGACACGGCTCGGAATCCAAAGTAATGTGGCATTGGCTGTTACGAGGACGTTAAACCCAAAACAAGCATACAACTTTTGAAAGGGCACGCAACCTATCATTGATAAAGTGATAAATGAATAAAAAAGCATGAGTATGAGTTTATAAATACGGGCCAAGATACTTGAATGAAAAGATTTTCATTGCTTCCCGGAACCTCCTAACAACTTTCAAAATGTAAAGCAGATTGATTCCGGTACTTGTAGCAGGTGTCTCATATTGTTACAAAAAAAGTGATTTTGTTGACAAATTGATGATCTTCCAATAAACTTTTCTACTACTGCGATTAAGGTTCCAACATAGAAAAATTAAATGTAAATCATCCCTGCAGGTCGGGGACCGAGAAAAGCTACCCACTGCATTATCGCACGAGGCGACTAATGTATGAGCCCTCTGCAGAATTGGGGATTTGCTTTTGTGCCCTCTACGTGGAGGCACAAAAACGACCAAAAAAAATCTGCTGCACCCATTGCAGCTTTTGGGATCTTATCTTTCTTTCAACTTCTATCTACCTTTTATTTCCTAGCGCCTTGCTTGGCAATACCTCATTTATGGCTTAAATGTTTGGCGAACGCCCAGGTGAGGAAGGCAATGGGTTCTGTCCCCAGGCCAGGACATACCAAAGTCCCTAAAATGGTAGTTGTTATTCCCTGCTTAACTTTCAGCATTGAGGGTAATGGCAACAACTGGTTTACCCATTGTTAGTATAATGTGACTTGTCGGAATGCTGTGCTGGGTGCCTTCGGCATGTACATGAGATAGCACTATAAAGTCGGCATCAGATCCGCGCTATCACAAGGAGACAAAAACAACAGCATACCCTGTCTCCGACACACATACACACATAAACGCTTACACAAAACACATGGAGGCACGTCCTTAAATGACAGGACGTTTAACAATTTAAACCAAGACAAACTAAATCTACATCATTCCTTGATACGTATAGTATAACCAACATTATCCAACCAACCTCTTAAGTATGGAGTTAGCATTGCCAGGGTTTCTTGTTTTTTCTGTTTGAATGTCTAACAGCAACCGTCGTGTTTTGTTTGGATGTCTCGACAGCAACCGTTGTGTTTTGTTTGGATGTCTCGACAGCACCCGTTGTTTTTTTGTTTTAATGGCTTCTCAGCGGTCGTGTTTGTTTCAATATCGTCACAGTTGCGTTTTGTTTGAATATTTCCTAAGCTACTGTTGTGCTTTGTTTGAATGTCGCCAGATCTTCCGTCGTTTTTATAATTAGTTCAGCGGCCCGAATGGCCAAGTGCGGCGTCCGTCTGTCCTTGACTTTTTACGTTAAACAAGTTTTTCTGAATAACCAAGAGGCCTAGGGTGAATTATTGTTCAAATGAATGACCTTCGCCCATTTTCAAGGTCACTGTGGTGTTAAAATCTTTTAACAACTTCTTCTGAATAACCATAACCATAAGGCGGAGGATGATGGTATTTGGCAAATGCCATGCTGGGATGAAGAGCTACAAAGTTTTTTCAAATTCATGACCTTGACTTATATTCAAGGTCACACAGGTCAAATATGTTTGAAATCTTTAAACAACATCTTCGGAATAACCATAAGGCCAAGAATGTTGATATTTGGTCAGTAGCATGATTAGATGAAGGGTTACCAAGTATGTTAAAATGAATTACCTTGACCTATATTAAAGGTCACAGGGGTCAAATATGTTTTATACCTTTTAACAACTTCTGAATAACCAAAATACCAAAAACGTTGATAGTTGCCAGTACATTGTATATGTTACATGTTTGGATGAAGGGCTATTATTTTTTTTTCATTTGAATGACCTTAACTCACTTTCAAGGTCACATTTGGTCAAATATGTATAAACCTTCAAATGACCTCATCTCAATTAACAAAAGGTCTAGTGTGGTGAGAAGGGCTATAAAGTTTGTTCAACATAATGACCTTGTTTGACTTTTAAACTCACAGTGGTCAAATGTGTTTAAATATTTTACTAGTAACTGGTTCTTTTGAATGACAAAAGTAATAAATACTGATAATTTGCCTGTAGCTTTATTTAAGTCCACGTTTAAGGTTACAAGTGTGAGATTAATACCCAGGTGATCAGCAAAGCAGGCCCATTGGACCTCTTGTTAAAAACACTAAATAGGGAAGGAAAGTGTTACTAGTTCTTCTTTGAAAATGCCAAGAAAAGCTGGTTAATACAAGAACATAGGTAGAGTCAGCTAAAGAGACCAATGTCAAGTTTTATTTTTTGGCTTAACTAGCATACAGATATAAATAGAAGCCTCGCCATACCATAGTTTCACATGGCCTCTTGTGAGAAGTAACGGAAAACTGAAAAAAACCAAAGAGACATTTTGTAAAATAAACATTTATTTCATCAGTTTAAACTTTTTGAAGTGAATTTGAATGAGATCCTTCTGATATGGTCTGGTAGCTATACAGGTTGGGATATTCTCGGGCTGTTCCATCCACAACTTGTGGTCGACATTTTCTGCCTTTAGTTTTTCTGCCAAAGATATCAGACTTTCTTCATTTTTAGCCTGTAAAAATAAAAAAAAATATGCATGATAATATTGATATGTTTGTATATGACAATGTATTCTTATGTATGGTAAACATCATTGACTAACGCTAGGTGTAAAGAGAGGGTGAAGATAGTCCACAATGTAAAAAGGATACACAACAAAGGCATTTATTTGGGTGGGGGAGGGATCTGGGGTAAGAAATAGATATTTTCAAAGGGGTAGAGGGGGTTCCACAATTTCGGATATGCTCATGTTAAACACACTTAACTGTATCAGGGAGTTCATTTGTAGCCAGTAGCCGGTAAAAATACCTCAGATATTTCACCAGCTACTGTATCAGGGAGTTCATTTGTAGCCAGTAGCCGATAAAAATACCATAGATATTTCACCAGCTTCTTTCATGAAGCAATTAGAATAATGTGAATGAAGTACATTTGTACTATGAAAATACCTGAATTAACCATCTACTTTGTGTTAGATACATGAAACTTGAATATTGAAGGAAATATGCAGTCATGATATTAGAATTGATCATGGGGTCTGGCCACAACCCTAGATATCTAGTTTCTGAGTCACAGCTTGGAAACAGTTGAGATCCCTGACCCATAACCATATATATTAAATTGCTGGGCACTAAAAATTTAATACAGACATACTACAAGAATTGGAATTGGGGTCTGGCATATTCCCTTGGATCTCATTTGGAGAATATTTTGCCATGATTGCTTAGATATCCAGGTGAGCTATACAGGCCTGCTGGGCCTCTTGTCTAGATTGAAAATCATAACTATTCTTTGTTATAATATAGATACTTTTTTTGGTTAAATAATTTATTATTATCATTATTTGGCCTATTGTTACAATGTGTGAAGCCTAATAAGTAATAACTTTGAATAGGTCAAAAGCTGCTAAAACGTAAACACACAAATCACTATCCAACCAAAGGTTATTATTGTAACAAACATTTAATATAGTGTTGATTTTCAATCCTAAAAGTAAAATCAAAATATTTCATTTATCATACATGTGTTAATAGGAGATCGAAAAATGCAAAGGCTAGACATGGGTTCGGATCTGGAACTCTCTTAACTCTGGACGGACGCTCTACCAATGAGCTACCTGGTCGCCGACGATTGACCCAGTCCAGTTCCATTACACAAGTATGATGATAATATACACTGAACAGCTGAAGGAAAATTAGATTGAAATTACTCAGGTGAAGTGCATTCAACCAAAACAGACATCAGGCTAATAAGTGATAGTCTCTGAAAGTGGTGGTCGATCCAAAACTGATATACAAAGCTATATTATGTATTTTGGAACAATAGCTAGAAATACATGCCTACATAATGAACAACCAACATGACCAGAAGGTAACAAAAGGAATCTTCGAGTTAGATACATCATCTAGAACAAGAGGACATGCACAGAAAATCAGGAAAAAACATTGCAAGCATGATATTCGGAAATATTCATTTAGCTTTAGCTTTATGTATTATACGTCTCTGGCTTTAGGGTTGTCGAAATCTGGAACAGTCTCCCGGAATATGTTATTACATCGCCAACAATTAAGGACTTTGAAATTAATCTTGATACTCATTGGAAAAATCTTGAAGTGAAATACAATCAATTGGCCGGCCATAAAGAAATGTCAGGAAATGACAATTAATGAATAATATTTTCTAAATAAGTTTAAAATATATTAAGATATGGATATAGATCGAGGCAGTGTGTCTGCCTGCATCCATTATTTATCCTTTTTTTAAGTAATATTATTGTTTAAACAGGAGTCTGACGTTTAATCAATATAAGTATAAAAATAGATTGTATATTAAAAATACCCAGTATACTATAACAAAACAACCCCACCAGGAATGAAATACCTGCGACTCATTCCATCTTGATGGTGTTTTTTTATATAGAGATTGTTATACTTATATTGATATTGATAAATCAGTTAGACGAACACCTGTCACCGCCTAAGTCATGACGAAATGTACAGGTTAACAGTACTATATATAGACAATACACTGTCAACTGTTAACCAATAGTACTCGACATTACCTCTAGAACAACTTTATGCATGCTGTCAGCGTCAGCCAAATATTGTTGGGTTGTTTTCTCGTCTCGGAATTGATGCATAACAGCGGTGCATGCATGGCAAGCTTGAGCTATCAAAGCACCCGTCGGCCATTTAAGTATATCTACTAAGTCTTTTCTGAGAACAACATACTGCACAATTGGTGAGGCCATTCTCATTACGATCGCTAAAATCGATAGTTAATTTCCTTCGATGCGTTTGACAGTTAGTTGGATGGGCGCTTCCATGTTTTCATATCGCAGTCTAAAAATCGCTGAAATACGATTGGTTCAAATACTGCTCCTTTGACCAATCATATTAGATCACAGAAGCTGATGACGTATTTAGGAAGTTCACAAGTAAAATATACACAGCAGTAACAATATCGGCAGGGACTTACCATATACAGTAGCAGGTAGATACGTTATCTTGCAACATATTTAGCATATGAATAACCGTTTATGAATTTCAATAGATACATTCTCTAGAATAAGGTAATTTTGAGTCGGTGCTATTCTGCATTCACAGTGCAGTATGGAAAATTGCGCTGACATGTCTGTGATAAGCTAAGGGTTAATAAGACAACATCTGACAGGCACACATGCATGGCTTATGTACATGTAAACAAGAACTTGGCCGAAAGTGTCAGTTGTTTGTTTCAGTGTTATAAACCCATTTACCAGCCTTAAAAGAACTGACAACATGTAGGTAATCAGTGTATACAAATGACGACCATAACAAATGTACCATATCTGGACCTAAAATTTTACTCGTAACCTGTTGGTAATCAATATTTTTATCAGACATGTGAACTATGATGATCAGGTGTCACATGCTTCTGATAACATTTAAATGGACGACGTACATGAACATTTAAATGGACGACGTACATGAGACATGCCTAACAATATCTTTATTTTACGAAAAAATGAATAAATAACAATATGAAATTTACAATGAAGAATCGTAACTCGTGTTGTACTCTGCTAGAATTAAACCATTTCAGCAATGTATGGTAGTTCATCATAAGAACTGGTCCTGGTAAATAATAAGATGTAAATGTAGGTTCTTTATAATTATTCACATTTTAATTGTATAACACATAAAAGTGTTAAATTATTTAGTCAAAATAACTTGACTGTCTCTCAATTTAAAGAGGATATATATAGTTTGTCATTTTGGACTTATACATTTTCTGGGATGGGTTACGTTTCAGTACTTGGTCGTTTCAGTCCAGGATGTTTTTCGGTTCTTCCCAAAAGCAGCTCAGATGTTTTATAGGATTTTGAGCACTTGTACTAATGTACTTGGACATTGCACTTTGTTTGCCTTTTGTGTTCCTGTATGCTGTTGATAATTATATATATATTAAAATTCTTCAGCATTTTATATATTTACAAAGAAGTAACAAACATCCTTTTCTTAGGTACCAAACTACCGGATACTGAAACATCATTATTTTGGGGATTATGCTCAACATATTAAAAAAAGTCAAAACAAGCTCTTGTAGACCTAAAACTGAATCGCATCTCGTGGACCTAATTAAAGCATGTTTGCATGTACATGTATGCAGGTGTCAGGTTGTTTCACCCTAAATCCCATTCACCCCGGGTCGCACTAAGTTGTATCCTCCTAAAAATATGTTTAGGGTGAAATTTTAGTCCTATTTAGTTGTATATATGGCTATAATATAGTCTAATTTAAAAATATTTTTTCCAGGTCTCCCTTAGCTTATTTTTTGCTTTAAGACTTGTGAGATTTGTACATGATATGGTCGACCAGATCTGCACATGTACAATGTAGCATGCAATTCTTTGGACAAGACATTTGCTTGTGAAACCACAGACTATTTCATGGTGAAACTTGAAAATATTAAACTTTTTTAATAATTAATAACATTTCAACTGATATTCATAACTTTAATATATAGAGAATAATACATGCCTTTTTCCATATCACACCCAGTATCAACCCGAGACTGCAATATCAGCCTAAGGGCCGAAGGCCCGAGGGCTGATATTGGTCGAGGGTTGATACTTGGTGTTATATGGAAAAAGGCGTGTTTTATTCTGTTTATTACATACTTACTAATAAAAACTACTATCTTATGATTTATTTTTATTTTTGAAATATTGAAAAAAAAAAATCCAAAAGGGGGGTGGTATGGGTTTTGCGGGGTGATACAGGTTTTGGGGTGTGATACGGCGGGGGCTGATACAGGTTTTGGGGTGTGATACGGCAAGGGCTGATACGGGTAAGAGCAATTGTGTCGAATCGCATATACAAAAAAAACGAATTTTTTGGTAAGTATGTAATAAATAATAATATTAGGGCAAAACAACCTTCCGCGAACTGAATTTAGGGCAAAAATGACCCAGATACGTTGCATAAGCATTTACTATAACGATATGTATAAACCCCAGTAGCATTCTCAAATTTGAATACACATGTGAGAAGTCTGAAAAAGAAAAAGATTAAATAATCTTACACAAACCATTCATTGGACATCAGAAGAGAATGTCATTGCAAACCGTCCTGAATGTCAGTAAATTAAAGATTGAGGAAAATTATATAATCATTGCAATATCCCATATAAATGTATATAATTCCATATAAGTAAATAAACAAATACATGTAAATGTAGGTCTACAAACAGTTACTAGGTTTGTCTGTGATCTAGATCAATCCAATTTCTTCTAGACTTTAATTGCCTATGTCTATATAGATAGCTACTGCTAATTGTGAACACTGATATCTTATGGACATGCATATGCATGTATGTAATTGGATTTGGATTCACCCTTTCGAATGCCTTGCAGCACACATTAATATACACACAATATATGTACCTTTCTTTTGTTGCAGTAAAATTTAGTTAAAAGCCACGTTGCCAGTGACTTTACGATGACGGTTGTCCATGTTGCCAGTCTGTGTACGTCCTGTGTAGTGGGAGAATGAAGCTGTATCAGACTCGAGTGCCTGAGTGTGATTTCCTCCTGTCCACGCTCACAAAACATGTGTTCATCCTTTTGTTTCTATCATCATTATTACTATCTGGTGAGTAAAGTTTTAAATCTCCGAAAATTATTGAAAAGTTAGTTTTTGCAGAACACCGGATAAATTTTGTGTAACAGTGTATCTGTAAGCATAGTCATTATATTGTTGGTTTGAACCATACTAAAACTGCATGATATAAAAATGGACATAATTCAATTATAGCCTTTGGATGAGGTCGATAAATCCAGGTATTGACCGAAATTAAAGGCTACAATTGTTTTATTATTTTACAAATCAGTAATGTAAGCAATCTGAAAAATAACTCAACAAAAAAGCTTCGGAAGTGGGACGGTGCATTGTTTGGAGACACGTCATAATTCTATTTTCAGAAACACCCAGTCCTTCAACAAAAATCATGCGCTCCAAGTCAATATCGGTTTTTATCGGTGGACACGTGATGCACTCCTGGCCAATCACTTGCTGGGAATAATATGAAAAAATAATAAATAAAAATATATAATTATTCTTCCTTATTATAATGTTCATACTAGCTATAGTGGTTCAAGGTTGTGTTTGTAATGGTTTATGCAGCTCTTTAATGAATATTTAAGAAAACTTCTGTTTGATACCCTCTATTTTTATGTCCTTAAAATGGACTCATTCCCCATCAAATGTTTGAATTCCTTTATGATGAATTTGTTGCAGTAAATTTTCAAAAACACATTAATTTTACTATCTCATCTGTTAATTTATTAATGGTCTCCTCATTACATGTACTGATGATTTTTGATACATTTTAATTAGACATCCTGTTTATGATGAATCAGTATTTGAAAAATTTCATTATTTCCCCAAAGATTTCAAAGTTAGTGCTTCACTTATATTAATTAAAACATACTAGATCCCTTCCCTCCAATCATGCAGCACATGATCAAAATTAATGACATTTCCACCACTGAAATGAAACCTTATGTTGTTTCATACATATGTTATAATTAGTTTTGTTAAAACTCGTGATAAAAAACTAATCACACACTGATCAACCACAAATTTCTGAACTTTTTAACCAAGACTTCTATGTAATTGTAACTTGCATTTATTAAAGACCTTTTGGATCAATATGCCTTACTGAAAATTTACATTTTAAATACATGTTAATTTATACAACTAAACTGAATTTACAGTTGTTTATTCTGTATGTAATACAATATATTGAGTTGATGACGTTTTATTAAATTAATGCTTACACCAGTGAGCAGGTATACACATGTAGATATTGATTTCATATCCCTAGCTGGCCTAATTGCACCTTGTATTGTAAGCATAATATTGTGCATGTATATCTAAACAAAATGTTCATTGAAACATGATGAAAATATTGAAAAACATTGAGCAGACACTATCAGCAGCAGACCTTCTGTATAAAATCATTGTTATAATGTTTTAATTTTATTTGTGTTTGATTATAAATAAATATAAAGAACTATTAATCAAATAGCTGAGTTCATCAATAATTATTCATAATGTTTTTAATTATTTGTGATGAAGCTAACAATGCCTCGATGATAAACTGGGATGTGGATAATCTTTGGTGTATGTACTACATACAATTTCCCTTTTGCCTGCAGCAATCAAATTCAATTAATGTAAAATTAATTTGTCTGGCCCCTGTAAACTATCATTGGAGTGCATTATATGCCCAAAGGCTAGGTGATCATATAATGGCCATAATTAGTAAATAACAGGTAAGCTATCTCAGACACCTGGACATATGCAAGTACAATTTTGCAACATGCCATATGCAAGGGAACCTCATAGGAATGCTTAGTATTTCTATTTTATATAAGATTGCAAGATCTATATATTGATTTTAAAATCAATAGATGTCTTGCAACCTTACATTTTAACACTATAGGCAACTAGAAATGCACAAAGCTAGAATTTGGTAATTTATATTGATTAACATATAATAATTATATACACACACTATTTAAGCATTGAGTGTTTAAGCAAATGTTACACATTGATGTTGATGGCAAACTGAATAAAGCCCGGTATTAACATTTGGTAGAGTAGACTTTATGCTTTATTTAGTTATTTCGAACAGTTCTTTGAACAGCAAATTGACAACAATGAAATTGGTGACGTTACAATAGCAAATGTTGTTGTAGTCTCACAACAACATTTGCCTTATCAATGCATTGCAAATGGAAAGATGCAGAGCAAATATAAATTAAATGGTATTGCAGATATTAGGAATAGTTCTAGACAGTACAATTTTGCAACATGCCATATGCAAGGGAACCTCCTAGGAATGCTTATAGTATTTTATCCTGACAAAGTATAACTTTTTATTTTTTGAGTTGACATGTATTGCAAAATGATGTACACAACTTTTACTATGCAATATATGTACTTTTAAATGTATGATATTGCATGTTGATGAGGTTTATGCTTTTGTATGGTACAAACTTATTACCGTAACATTACAATTTCAGATATTGACATATAGTATATATAATACCAGTACACCAGCTGGCCTATTGTGATGATATCATGTTAAATCAAGTAGAAAAAAATAATATTGTATATTTAATGCGTAAATAAACCTTACAATCATATGACAGTGTATCCGCATACAGACTTCACATTTATTTCATCTTTAGTTAGCTAAAGATACCTGTCCGTTTTCACTGTAGTTTTTAGCTCAACTGGCCATGGCCCGAAGTGCCAAGGGAGCTTATCCTGTCACACAGCGTTGTCTGCCCGTCGTCTGTCAACTTTTTCGTTTAAAACACTTCTTGTCCTAGTGAGTGTTTAGCCCTTTGAGCAATGCCTGGTAAGGCCCAATACAGAAAATAGAACTAGATGTTATTCAGGATCTTTCCTTAGAACTTATACACTCTTTGAAGAGGGATGCCCTGTAAACTGAAGAAGAACGGGAACTGTATTTTGTATAATCTGAGAATGAGCCCCCACCCCCCACCCCTCTGCTGATTACGTTCGAGGGCAAATATATGGTCATCCAAAAAAATTCAGGGGTTATGCGCATGTTATTTAAGTTACGTTCTCTGCACCTTGGGAAGGTGTCCTGACATAATCAAAGGCACACGGACAAAGCCTAGACTGATACTTGTCATTTGGAGATTACAGAGGAGCAACACACAACTTCAAAGCCTGTTAATTTTACTGTTAACACAGCTGCATCTTTTTTTGATGTACATCAAATGATCAAGCTAGTCTAGATCTACTTATACCATCTACAAAGTGACATGTACAGAGCCTTTGATTTTATCATGACATGTTCAAGAGGTGCAGAGAAAATAACAGAGTGTAACTCCTGGAATTTCAAGGATGATCAATGGCCTGGTCGGATATGAAAGCAGTGGTACAAAGACCTCAAATATATCATGACCATGCTTTAGACTTGACCACATGTACAGGCCAAATTCTCCAAAGATCGTACTTTTGTTTAAGTATTAACTGTATTTAAGTATTGTTTAACATTACATAATTATGAGCCATCATGATCAATGTCAGTGCAGTGTATAATGTAGTACAAATATGTTTGTTTTGTAAAAATAAATAATCTAAAATCTGTATCAATGTATTTACTAAAATAAAATGTTTGAACAAATTTTAGAAGTACATGATAAAACTATGTACATTTCTCTGTCTACAATCACTTGAATTGTGCGAAGCACATTAAGATGTCAAGTTAAAACATAAATGTCCTATAGTCTACCACTTCAGTGGAATAAAGCACCAGGTAGGAATTGATTTTCTCCCCATTGTTGTGGAATTATAATGTTACAAGTGAAAAGCCATACCCATGTTCATAGTGTCATGTGTATCATTCTGTATAGGAATAACTACAGGGACATCTGTTGCCTTCATCTGTAACCATTCAAGGCCTTTGTCATGACCTATGCCTACATTTTCAGAACAATTTTAACGATAAATATTTAACACATTTGCCGATGGTTGAAATATTACAAAACTAGAAATTCAGGAATCAGGATCCCAAACAGATACCTAAAGTTTCAAATATAGTGTTCTTACAAGAAAATATGATGTATCTTGAAAAGTTGTGTATATTACTATAGCTATCTATCAGTTTTGTTAAGCTTAAATGTATGTGTGAAGATTTGTTTCTCTGTTTTGTATCTTATGCCTCTCGAAAAAATAACTGATGCGATGTAGTGGTTGAAATTATTATGTGAAATTTGGTGGAGGTGAAGATGGATAAATATTCCCATCTCTCTTATTAAACTTCTTAACTCAATATCAAAATATAAGGTGTTTGGTAGAGGGGTACTTTTTATACAAGGAGTTGGTGGTGGTAGGGAGGCTATCTTTGGTAGCTATAGGGGTATAGAAAGTATCCATATGTATGTTTTAAAGTCTCTCTCTCTAGATCTGTCTCTCTCTCTGTCTCTTTCTGTCTCTCTATTTCTCTGTCTCTGTCTGCCTGTCTCTCTCTCTCTCTCTGTCTCTCTGTCTGTCTCTGTCTCTATCTCTGTCTGTCTCTCTCTCTGTCTCTCTGTCTGTCTCTGTCTCTGTCTCTCTCTCCTGTCGTCCCTTTCAATCCCTTCACTACAAACTTTATCCATTTGACTTGTTTTTCTCTCTTTTCTTTTTCTGCTGGATAACTGAACTACTACGTAGAGGTACACATGACACGAGTGAGAGACCTTTCCATAAATTAACGATGTCTGCGTATTTGACTGGTTATACATTATTACACAGCAGGATATGTACTGGGTAACCTCCTACCCGTCCAGCTATGTCTGGGTAGAGTTGATAGACAGGTGGTGGTCTCAATGTATTTCTACTTCCTCTTCACTAGTGACAAGTAATGCAGAAACTTATATTTTGTACTGCACAAATGTATTGATATGCCCTATGCTTGGTAGTCAACAGGACTAGTTGAATAGACTATTTCCTTGTCCTTTGTCAATGTAGCTAGTCCAAGATTTCCTGATAAGGAAACATCCAATCTACAGCATGAATTATCAAAAGTAATCAACTGTAGGGACATAAAATAATTACTTTAAGTTTTAGGAAAATTTTGACAATTATGATGCAATATACAGATCTTATTTTAAGCTATTTTCTAAGTTTTTAAAAAGAAATAGTCTTATTTTATAATCATCTTTTTCACAAGTCCAAAGGGCCAGTTTGGTAAGGTGATTCACTAGTCCTTGCTGAAATCTACTTGTTCAGGACTAGCGGACTATTGTTAGTGTCGACCCCTGATAATACAAGGTATGGGAAAATTGAAAATATATTTAAATCACAATTAAACATTGATTAATTAATTTTTCATGGTCAATTAAATTTATGAACAACAAGAGCTTTTAGTTGAAGTTATACCTCACCATTGAGACCGATGCCCTTTGTTTTGCTGTGGGTTATATAGAGGCCCGGCTATAAATGCATGTTCTACAATGCTTTTATGATTGTAAATGGTGAGGTACATAAGCTCCACCATGTTATTGTAAATTTAACAGCCAATTAGAGGACAATTTGTCTGCTGTCCCCTGGCTGAGATATTACAGATTGGTATATGAATGAAAATACCATGCGGACACTTAGCTGTATTATATAATCAATAATAGCAGTGGAAATCAATCTTTCCTGCTGGTGAATTGTCTGATATGCTCTTCCACTGACCACCCCATGTAGGGAGATTTCCTTTAGTGCTGTAATTCCCAGGGAGACTTGCCCATGGTCTGTATGTAGCCTCTGGACACAACTTTTGTTTTTAAATTGATCTTTTGATATATTTTCAACATGTCTACAAATACTGTATCTAATTTTACAGATTTCATCTGTCAATAACGTTGACAGGATTGTATACATATTTTAGTGGTGAAATAAAGTGTTCAAGTTGCAATTGGCAAGTTAGTAATAAGTATAATAATACTTAGTTACTTAACAAGTATTTGATTGAAGTATTCCCGTCCTAACTCAGGGGTATTCCGTCCTAACCCGTATTCCGTCCTAACTCAGGGGTATTCCGTCCTAACTCAGGGGTATTCCGTCCTAACCCGTATTCCGTCCTAACTCTGGGGTATTCCGTCCTAACTCAGGGGTATTCCGTCCTAACCCGTATTCCGTCCTAACTCAGGGGTATTCCGTCCTAACTCAGGGGTATTCCGTCCTAACCCGTATTCCGTCCTAACTCTGGGGTATTCCGTCCTAACTCAGGGGTATTCCGTCCTAACCCGTATTCCGTCCTAACTCAGGGGTATTCCGTCCTAACTCAGGGGTATTCCGTCCTAACCCGTATTCCGTCCTAACTCTGGGGTATTCCGTCCTAACTCAGGGGTATTCCGTCCTAACCCGTATTCCGTCCTAACTCAGGGGTATTCCGTCTTTGTGTATTGCAGAGTTATCCTCTCTTGTGAGCAGGTATTGATTGTTACGTCATTTGTTTGTGAGAGTAACGTCATCAATGTTAAAGAAAACGACGTAATTTTCTCACACAAACCAATGACATAACAATCAATACCTGCTCACAAGAGAAGATAACTCTGCATTACGCAAAGACGGAATATCATCCACTAGCCCATTGTTCAGGGCTTGTACATAGCGTTGCAATATTTACTTGGAAAATAAAGATTATAAAGTTGGGATAGTAGATTTTTTTAAACCTGCTTCCAGGCAAATTACTTGCAGTTTACCCATGTAACTACTATTATAAAGTTATTCTTCTTCCTGAGGCATGCATTATGACCAAACAGAAACAGTTAAAGGGGCTGGTCGTGGAAAAAATTACAAAATAAATGGGTCTAAATGCGTTCTCTGGCCTTCCAAAAGTTATACCACGGCAATATGATGGTCGAGTTCTGCTTCCGATGTCCAGTTTTGACAACTGAAATCTCGGGGAAGCCCCGCGTAAATTTAGCGCAGATCTATTTATATATGTCATGTGGTTGTTTCGAAAGTGAGGCAGTGAAGATAACAACGATAGCACGCCGTCATGTGCCATGTCGGACTCAACTAGCAGACAAGATAGCAATACTATATGTAAATAATTGTTTTCAAAGGTCATGTATGATGCAAGTGTAGTATTCCTACCTATATGTTGTTGTTATATATAACGGCATTGATACCTCGTGCCTGTCATGACTTTTGCATGCATCTTTTACTTTCGCCGCGATGTTTACATTTGGCCTTGTTGATGACGCGCGTGCGGTAAAATTACATCACTGATCTGGGTCAAATGAGAGTTTTAGACTGTCAGGTGACGATTTAGGATTTCTTTAATATAGTTATAATTTTTACTCTTAGGGAGTGAATTTCAGCAAAATTTGAATCGGTATATTTCATAAGAAGGTATTTTAAACATGTGTATGCCATTTTAGCAAATATGATATTTTTTCCCGGACCAGCCCCTTTAAGGTATATAATATATGTTGGCATTATTCTAATTATATAATAAATCAAGTGGCTGTGATGTCATGATTCTATGCAATTTTTCCAAGGTTGGAATAATCAGACTTGTGTAAAGAGGCAGATTTAATATGGAACATTTTGGCAGAAAAATTGCTGTGACATATACATTGTAATAACATAAATATAACTGATGTAATATTGGCTATCATGTTTTATTCAGTAAAACCTTGTATTTTGAGGAAACCAAAATTTAGAAAACTGAGTTAGATAACATGATTACCAACCATATGTTTGACTTGAGTTAGAATAATTAAATGAGTGGTGGTTATCTAACTGGAGTTAGTTCATATTGTATAAAGACACTACGCTAAGCATAGTGATCAACCATAAGTGCTTAGGGACCTTTTTCTCCAACAACATTAAGATATTTTATCTAGAAAACCCTATTTTTCTCTTGGGAGTATATTATTCTTTTTTTCTGTTTGGGGAAACAATTGCAAATTGAGCTTATAATGTCACAATCAAAGATGACGTGGCTAGCCATTGATACATCAAAGTAACATGATAATTAGAAGATTGACCAATGAAGTAATGTCCAGGGTGTAATTACCACTAGTGGCCATGGGTAACCAAAAGTGTTTACCTGCCACTACTAGCAGGTTTATCTAATGAGTCTGGAATGAGGAAACCTGTAAACAGTTGTGTTGAGATTGAGTTATGGTTATCGACTCTAAAAATGTTTTGAAAAGAAATGCATAAACTGTACAGTTGTTTTACTTTCTTTTCTGACACTGAACACTTAGGACCTGATTCATGTACTCATAAATCTATAACTTTTCCCCTATTACAGGAATATTTACAGCGGACATCTGTGATAAGGAGTTGTCATCAACTAGACTAAAAGCAGCCCTTCACTACAAATCGGTGCCACGTGAAGTCTACAATGCAGGGAACTACACGCGAGATTCGACAGCGACTGGTATCGTGAACTGTATCCTCAGCTGTTGTGATCAACTAACGTGTGATACGGTCTTATTCCACAACAATACATGCTACCATATCAAGTGCAATGTATCATGGGAAGGAGCATGTGACCCTATTATCAAGTCAGATGAAAAATTCAACAACACTATTTACGTAGAAGTAAGATCTGTAGGTAAGTGCAAGTTGTTATGAGAAACAAAACAGTGATGGGGCGTACGCGAGTATCCAATTTCTGTAACTGTTATATTTTGCAGGGGAATATATTTCACTATATTCGCTTTCGACAGTCATCCATTGTCTGTTGTCCATCATCCATAAACATTTAATGCCCCACCATGGCCCCCGGCTGCCCCCGCCCATGTCTGTCCTGTCCTGTAGCGTCCCATCGCATCCTGTCCCGTGATCAAAGTGTCTGTTACTATTTATAGAACATCAAACACTGAAACTAATTTCACATGGTAACGTGGCATTTATGTCTTACATTTTCTGGTTCTTTAAACCACTTCTTCTAAATAACAATCTACAGATTTCAACCAAGCTTTTGAGGAAGCATTCCAAGGTTAAGTCATAGGGATTCACAAAGGATTATAATAGGGCTAAAAAGGGGGTAAAGTTTTGGACATCTAAAAAAATCTTTTAACAAACCAGCTGTTGCATTGTTTTAATATTCTTTATGTAGCATCCTTTATATATATTCTACGAAAAATTTGCAAAGGGAAAACAAAATTGGTGTATAAAGAGCGCCACTGGGGGACTCTTCATTTCTTTGTCGCTATAATGGCATCCTTTTTCAGGAGAATAAGAAGGTCTAGAGACAATTGATATTTGGCCACAAACTTGCTTGCATGGTGTGCTACAAAGTTTCAGAAAAGAAATAACCTTTACATATAATTCAGGGCAGTATGGTCTGATTTGTCAAACAACTCAAACTCTTTAAGTTCAAGAACCTAAAGGCTGAAAGGAAAATGATAATTTGCTTGTAACTTCTTGGCAAGGAAACTAAATATTTTGTAAAAAAAGGCTACATTGATCAAGTGAGCGTCTTCATTCCTTTGGACCTCTTGTTTCTTGAAATGGACATAAATAACATTTGAATCTACAAACAAATACCAGGGTACCTACCCTAGGCAAGTGAGTTAATTAATTATGTGTACTTTTCAGCTTATATCACTCAGTCCTCACCAAAACCCATAGAGGAAGGTGGGGAGAAGTCATGTGATCTTGAGACACACGCTGGCTGTCAAGAAAATGAGGAGTGCAAGTTGAATGATAAGTTTGACAAGGCAGAATGTCAGTGTATAGACGGCTTTGTGAGAGACAAGGACACAGGTGTTTGTAAAGGTATGTACATCAAAGTCAGAGGTTACATATTAGGTGGTCAGGAAACAGACAATTCACCCACAACTATTGTTTTGTTTGGTCTTCCTGTAGTTATACCTAATGCAGTCATAAAAACATATATATATACCCTTGAGTGATGGTAGTGAATCGACCCCAATAATCAGATTGGTAAAAGGCTTTGGTCTATGAAACTGTGTTTTTTTCCAGGGTTTTAGGGAAATCAAATGTATTTGTAAATCACATTGAAGCCATTTTGATAGGACACTGAAAGTCAAATGATGTAACATTATACAATTGTTTCATGGCTATTTGGCGAACAGTCAAAACTATCATCCCCCTACCGAGGGATGATAGTTTTGACTGTTCCCAAAATATCCATGAAACAATTGTTTTATTACCAAATGAAATTTAGTATCAATGCTGCATGCAATGTTGCCATTGCTTCAACACTGAGTCGCGGTCACTGAAACGCTTGAACGGGGCTCTCGAGGGGGGATTTCTGCGTATCGAATTTTCGCGCCGGGTAACAGTTCGCTCTGACCAGGAAAACAGTTTTGACTGTTTCATTCCTACAGCCAAAATTGGACAAAAGGCCAAAAACAGTCAAAAATGACTAATTATAATTTATATAGACTTTTGGGTAATAATCATATTTGCTATATAACCATAACCAGTTAATTAGGACGTCATACCTATATATATGCTAAATTAAACCACTACCAGCAATGCAGTTTAGAAAATAATCGTGTTTATTTAGATTGAAAGCTGTTATCTGGTTCCCTGTGGTAGTCAGTTTAAACAGGTTTTGCTATGTAATCTGTATTTCTGTAATCTAATTGAGTTAAATCACTTTCAGCTGTTGGCGATAAACCTACAGTAATATCCTGCCTGCTCGACACAGAAGAATCTTGTGGTAAAAATGAGCGGTGTTACGTTCCTGACCAGTTGCCTTCCAAATCTGGTCTCTGTCTGTGTTTAGAGGGCTTCCACAGGGATGGCTCACAGCAATGTGTCAGTGATAAAGGTATGTATGTCTCAGAGGTCCCCCCCCCATACACACACACCAAATACAATTATAGTGGACCTGTAAGCAATTCATTTGAGGATATCTTCTTATAAACCTGCGAATGTTACAGCAGGTCGTGAAAATCCTTGTCATGGCTCACTAGAAAACAACATCAGAGCTGTAAGTCCCTCCTACATTATGTATATGTCATGAACAACCAATTGTGGTTCAACTGGCTGGGAAACCATTTGGGGTGTGAAAAATAAAAACAGTTCTGACAGAGTTATGTACCCTCTCCAGAGGGAAATGTCTTCATCTTTTGTGAAAAGAACATTTGATATAAGAAAAAGACATTAATTGAAAAGGAAATCCCTTGATGTAACTGTGCTATTGTGATATAAATCACGTCTGTATTTATCTTGTTAATGACTGTTTCTACAGAGGAGCCGTCGCTGTGTGACTCGCATAAAGATAATGAATGTGGAATAAATGAGCGCTGTGATATTCCTCCTGCACAGCCAACACACATTGGTACATGTGTTTGTATCCAGGGGTACCATCGTAACCATGACAACCAGTGTGTCATTGATCCAGGTAAAAATCCTCTTATGGCAAGTTCCATTTTGATAGATCAGTGTTAACGTTGGCTCTTCTATAGAGGGGATATTTGTCTGATTATCCCAGTAGAGTGCTATTGTTTCAATTCGACCCTCAAAATTCTTAGGCCCTTTTAATTTTCTATGCCTGATAAGATATGCGGGTTGTATCAACACTAACCCTAGACGTAGCTCAATACTAGCTAGTTGATCATGATGTACTGACATTTCAATTGTTTTCTATAGTTGTGTTGATTTACTCATTAAGTCATGGTGATACATTTATAAGAGTTTAGTGAAAATATATCTTAATAGGAGCCTGTGCAGTAATGTGTTTTAACAATTTTCTAGGGGAACATGTTACGCCAATAGTTCCCGCGATCACCACAGCTGGACTTCCTCTGTCAAAGATGAAAACGTGTACTTACGGCATTCCCCATACCTGTCCAGATCACATGATCTGCTTCATTCCTGAGTCCTCCAAGAAACGTACTGGTCTTTGTACCTGTGACACCGGCTATGAGATGGACCAGCAGGCCCAATGTCACCTAAAAGGTAGGAGAGTTATCGCAAGGAGATAACTCTAAAATGTCGAGATAGGTGACACCAAACAATGTTAGGCAAACATCAACATCTGTCAATTACAACCAATAGAAATAAAACCCACAGAAACCAAGCAAATGGCTATTCTACCTTTTATTAAAAATGTATAATGAATTAAAAAAACATTCTGCCCCCCATTCCTTATCTTCAGGAAATTCACAAACTTTTCACCATGAAGGCTTTGCTGAAGTTTCCGAAACTCCAATAACAGTCTTCTATGGAAAAACTATAGGTTTATTCATTTGAGGAATATTTGCAAAACTTGGGCTAAATGTTTTTTTTGAATAAAGTAATTTTTAATGTAACCACACCTTTTAAACATTTTTGATAATATGCAACCAATCATAAATGTTAAAATGATGCATTTCAATCTTTAAAAAGCTATAAAAGGTAAAGAGTTTCCATTTATTGATCTTTATTTTTTTTCAGGTGAAGACAATGCTGTGGTACCCACTGATGCAATTATTGATACACATGTAAGTAGAACAAAAACCACTTTTTTAGAGGGCACCTAGTGTTACAGCTGTTTGTTCCTTCCTGTCATGTGGCATTCCGGTCCATTGTGTCCAGCTGATTCATTGTCACTGATGTACCGACTTCATTTCTAAACAGATTTTTATCAAAGTTTTTGTAAAGGTCAAGTAGGATACAGATGAGTCTGAATATCAAGGTCCCAATATTGATGCCAAGGTCACTGTTGCTATCCATATAGGTCAACCACAGGGTCAACAGGGGCATTCATATCTCACAGACTTTTCTAGTTAATTGTAAACATTGCATTACATTATGAATTTCTTTTGTTGGGACTGATGTCAAATGTTTCATAAGTGTAAGGTTAAGATGAAGTCAAAGTTCAAGGTCATCAGGTCAAATTTAACCCTTTCACCACTGTAGACCATAATGGACTCATCCAGATCAATGCTTGGTAGAGTCTACTAAAGTTACATAGGGTTGAAAGGGTTAATATCTTTTTCATTGCAAAGCATTGTGTTACAACTTTATGAAACAATGACCCAAACTCTCCAATAGTTCAGGGTAAAGGTCAGAGGCATGGAGATCACTTTAAATTCTTGGGACTACCTACTGTATACCAGAAAGCTTCCGCCCAGTCAAACTTTAACTTTCATATAGTTAATTCAATTCTATATAAATGTTTACTTGTAGACGGTTGCATTTCAGGTGGCAGCAATGAAGAAACCTACAACCATAGTTCCAAAAAGTAAGTTGTTATCCTCCGCTTTCACTGAAACGGGGGAAATGATTTGGGTTTGTCCTTATGTCTGTCATGCTTTGTTTCCGTGCAATAACTGCATCAAATGTAAACCAATTTTCTTCAAACTTGGTACCAGGGTTAAATGCCCTAAGGGCTCTGCCAAGTAAGATGACCCCTTGAATAACGAAAAAACATCATTATCTGCCGTTTCTGTTTATTAACTCTCGCAAATATTTACGCTATGCTTTCTTCAATCAGTTCAATTTACATCGTAATACCTACATGTTCAATAAAAAGTCTAACATTTCTATAAGGCTTTTTTTTTACTTCGAGTTTGCATTATGTCTCAACAACACGATACTCACATGTTTAAACCTCAATAATGTTTACCTACAATACATGTATGTCCTGCAAGCGGGGGATATAAATTCCACAAATTTGCTTGTTTGATCACAAATAAAAATATTCCTTAGACACTAATCAACCCTTGATGATACTGTACATACTAGAGTATCAATTTTATTGTTCACTGATTGGTCATCATTTAGTTGCCACATTTTACTTCGACCAATCAGTGTCCTTGAAAATTCTTTGTGGAGAAACTTAGATCATACTTTGACTGACATCAAATAATAAATTACCAATCACTGAAAGAATTATGTATTGGTACATTTTATGCCTACAAATTATAATATCAAATATTTTATCTGTTCAATCGAATGACCTTAACCTTGCAATTGGATTTATGAATATAACTTGATAGTTCAAATAGCCTTAACCTTGTAATTCACATTTCTGTAACCTGATAACTCAAATGGCCTTAACCTTGTAATTTACATTTCTGTAACCTGATAACTCAACTGGCCTTAACCTTGTAATTCACATTTCTGTAACCTGATAAATCAAATGGCCTTAACCTTGTAATTCACATTTCTGTAACCTGATAACTCAAATGGCCTTAACCTTGTAATTCACATTTCTGTAACCTGATAAATCAAATGGCCTTAACCTTGTAATTCACGTTGCTGTAACCTGATAGCTCAAATGGCCTTTACCTTGTAATTTACATTGCTGTAACCTGATAACTCAAATGACCTTAACCTTGTAATTCACATTGCTGTAACCTGATAGCTCAAATGGCCTTAACTTTGTAATTCACATTGCTGTAACCTGATAACTCAACTGGCCTTAACCTTGTAATTCACATTGCTGTAACCTGATAACTCAAATGACCTTAAACTTGTAATTCACATTGCTGTAACCGATAACTAAAATGGCCTTAACCTTGTAATTCACATTGCTGTAACCTGATAACTCAAATGGCCTTAACCTTGTAATTTACATTTCTGTAACCTGATACCTCAACTGGCCTTAACCTTGTAATTCATATTGCTGTAACCTGATAACTCAACTGGCCTTAACTTTGTAATTCACATTGCTGTAACCTGATAGCTCAAATGGCCTTAACCTTGTAATTCACATTGCTGTAACCTGATAACTCAAATGACCTTAACCTTGTAATTCATATTGCTGTACCCGATAACTAAAATGGCCTTAACCTTGTAATTCACATTGCTGTAACCTGATAGCTCAAATGGCCTTTACCTTGTAATTTACATTGCTGTAACCTGATAACTCAAATGGTTTTAACATTTTAATTCACATTGCTGTAACCTGATAACTCAAATGGCCACATCCTTGTTATTTGAATGACTGAAAAATTATGTTACAGTACAAGGGCTGACAGTGGCCGCAGGAGACAACAAAATTGTTCAGCTGCCTGAGAACCAAGTGAAACTGACTGCTTTTGTGTTGGAGGACAAAGCAGAGGGTAGGCGAATGCTTAGTATACTTCATCCATAAAACAATATAATTCAACATTACTGGCTTGGATTTATTACATGACTGAAAAAAAAAACAACTCTTGTGCTCAAGTTTGCTCAGCCATATTTTATATTTCGAAGTTGTTAGTGTAATAAGCTATTTTTTGACCTTGTTTGGGGGAGACATTAATGTTAGGAATTGCCCTTAGGGAACATGACCGGCCTTGAGTGTATAGTGAACAACTGTTTATGTCTCCCCAAAAACAGACACAAAATGTCCTTGTGCACAGTCAAGGATATAGGTCATGGTCATAGAGGTTAGCCTCCTCATCAACATTGATAATTGTGCAAAAAATACCTTGAAACCATAATGTTGGGGTTTATGTCTAGTTCTCAATGTTATAAATTTTAGGTCACATAGTGAAAGGTATATATGTTTGTCAAATGAAAACAGCACCATTTTCTGAAAAGGGGCTCAACAAGTAAACCCAGCAATGTATTAGACATACATGCTTCTGATATTTTGTAAATGAATGGTAGCTAGTTGTGCAAAAAATGCACAAATCAAAATCAAAAAAAATATAATTAAAAAGTTTCTTAATTCAAAAAATATAAAAATGCTCCAGCCTAAAACAAGTGTTTGTGTTGTTTTACATTGGGTGTTTTGTAATTGTATAGAGATGAGTTTCTACTGTCTTGTTGAAATAATATACATAAATGTTTGGATGTAGGTGAGACTTTTGGTTATGAGTGGAGTCTGATTGCCTCCCCTGCCGGAGCAGAGACCGGGAAAATGGTTGGGAAAAATACAGATACACTAACTCTGACGAAGGTTTGTGAAAAATATTACAACAATTTGTTTGATTGGCAATGGTTTATATGAGAAAACCCAGAAGTTTTACATAGATTGGTAAAAAATCACAAACATAGTTCATACAAATGTTTGTATAAAATCAGAAATTACAGTTGACAGCTGACCTGTACATTTAGTATTCATAATGTTAGTGTAGTCATTCTGCCTCATTACAGTTGATAGCCGGCCAGTACACATTCAAGATCAAAGTCACTGGACAGAATCGGGAGGGGTCAGGTCTGGTCAACGTCACTGTCCTCTCAGGTAAGCATCACAAGGTTAAAAGTTACCATGGGTCCTTGAGCTGAATAACCACATTATTCACTATATTCCCATTCATGTAAAATCATCAGACAGTTTTTTGTACACAATTTAATTCTGAAGGCTCTTCTGATGGGATTTTTGTAAAAATAAATAAAAATGGTGGCAAATCATAATGTATACAACTGAATGTGACTCTATGGTACACTGTGGAAGGTATAATGTTTGTAGATCACTGGCATGAAATGGATCAACTGCTCATCAGAACTTCCCACAAAGAATATATATTATGTGCTCATCAGGTGGAAATGAAAAGATAATTGCTGTCAAGTTATCAAAGATTTTCTTTACTGTAAAAGTGAAAATTTGTTCAGTGTAGAAAATGCATGTATTTCTTGTGTTGAGTAAGTATTTTTTTAAATATCCACACATGAATATTTATGTATAGAAAATATAAATGATACAATATATAGATTTCAGAACCATTGTCAATAAGAAATTACCTTACTGCCATCAGTGTATAGAGTCACAGTGCCGACATTTCCACATGTGATGGTTTCCACTTTAACAGTACTGCTTTTACTATAGAGTCACAATGCCGACATTTCCTCGTGTGATGGTTTCCACTTTAACAGTACTGCTTTTACTATAGGGTCACAATGTTGACATTTCCACATGTGATGCTTTCCACTTTAACAGTACTGCTTTTACTATAGAGTCACAATGCCGACATTTCCACATGTGATGGTTTCCACTTTAACAGTACTGCTTTTACTATAGAGTCACAATGCCGACATTTCCACATGTGATGCTTTCCACTTTAACAGTACTGCTTTTACTATAGAGTCACAATGCCGACATTTCCACATGTGATGGTTTCCACTTTAACAGTACTGCTTTTACTATAGAGTCACAATGCCGACATTTCCACATGTGATGGTTTCCACTTTAACAGTACTGCTTTTACTATAGAGTCACAATGCCGACATTTCCACATGTGATGGTTTCCACTTTAACAGTACTGCTTTTACTATAGAGTCACAATGCCGACATTTCCACATGTGATGGTTTCCACTTTAACAGTACTGCTTTTACTATAGAGTCACAATGCCGACATTTCCACATGTGATGGTTTCCACTTTAACAGTACTGCTTTTACTATAGAGTCACAATGCCGACATTTCCACATGTGATGGTTTCCACTTTAACAGTACTGCTTTTACTATAGAGTCACAATGCCGACATTTCCACATGTGATGGTTTCCACTTTAACAGTACTGCTTTTACTATAGAGTCACAATGCCGACATTTCCACATGTGATGGTTTCCACTTTAACAGTACTGCTTTTACTATAGAGTCACAATGCCGACATTTCCACATGTGATGGTTTCCACTTTAACAGTACTGCTTTTACTATAGAGTCACAATGCCGACATTTCCACATGTGATGGTTTCCACTTTAACAGTACTGCTTTTACTATAGAGTCACAATGCCGACATTTCCACATGTGATGGTTTCCACTTTAACAGTACTGCTTTTACTATAGAGTCACAATGCCGACATTTCCACATGTGATGGTTTCCACTTTAACAGTACTGCTTTTACTATAGAGTCACAATGCTGACATTTCCACATGTGATGGTTTCCACTTTAACAGTAGTGCTTTTACTCGTAAAATTAGTACCTTCTATATTCTTATCATTGAGAACTTGTTAAATGTAAGTCCATAGCCTTTCTAGTGAGGTAATGGTCACTTTAAGGGTTTAAGGTGTTCGGGTGGCGCAGTGGATAGCACACTCACCTTTCACTAGAAGGCTAGGGTTTGATTCCCTGTTCAGGTGTGAAATGTATAGGGTCACCTGCCCACCAAGCGGGTTTTCTCTGGGTATTCAATTTTCCTCCCAGATGAAGACCCCAAGAGTGATTCATATAAGAAGGATTTTTTTTTTCATGATTTAAAAAAAAATGAATTAAGTTTATATGGTATTAAGGGTTCACAAATAGTGCCCAGTTGTTCAAATTCTGATATGTTCAGCAACAGTAACTGTAGATTGTTAATCTACAGGAATATATGTATAATTATAATCACAAAATATAGCAAAGAATTCAAAACATGGTATGAAACCAACTAATTTAAATTAGTTAAGACTTAGTATTAAGTTCTGTAAAAACTTACAAATCCTAATTGTTATAGGCATCATGCTCTGTTTGTGGATCTGTCTTAAAGTGTTACAGACCGAGGAACCTTTTTGAATGTTGGGCACTGGGAGCCTTGAAGACACCATAACATTTTCTTTGTTTTTTTGTACCGTCTGTAGTTTAAGTTTGTTTTTCAGTTGCCAGAAAGAACCAGCCACCAGTTGCCATCATTAAACCAGCCAACCAAGCCATCAAAGTCCCCAACCTTGCCATCCTGGATGGCTCAGGTAAGACAATAAAAAACAAAGGCCCTTAATCTCACCATCATGGATGGCTCAGGTAAGACAATCACAATGAAGAGTCCCTATCTCACCATCCTTGATGGCTCGGGTAAGACAATAAAAAACAAAGGCCCTCAATCTCACCATCATGGATGGCTCAGGTAAGACAATCACAATGAAGAGTCCCTATCTTATCATCCTTGATGGCTCGGGTAAGACAATAAAAAACAAAGGCCCTCAATCTCACCATCATGATGGCTCAGGTAAGACAATCACAATGAAGAGTCCCTATCTCACCATCCTGGATGGCTCGGGTAAGACAATAAAAAAACAAAGGCCCTCAATCTCACCATCATGGATGGCTCAAGTAAGACAATCACAATGAAGAGTCCCTATCTCACCATCCTGGATGGCTCGGGTAAGACAATAAAAAAACAAAGGCCCTCAATCTCACCATCCTGGATGGCTCAGGTAAGACAATCACGATGTAGAGTCCCTATCTTACCATCCTTGATGGCTCGGGTAAAACAATTTCAAACTTAAGTCCCCAACACTGCCATTCTGGATGATTTATGATAGAAAATGTTAAAGCAATGTTTCCAACCTCTCTCCTTGAATGATTCGGTAAGACTAGCCCTAGTCCAACAGTTAATAGCACTGATCATTATAATGTCCCCTATATTTACTTTGAGTATGAATGAAAAGAGCAGTTGTTTGTTTATTTACATGGAGAGTAACATTCAGTATTTACATGTGCATCAGGCAAGGATTAAACTCACAACACCTTTCACTGGACAGCTAGGAAATATTATAATATTTGGCCACAAACATGCTTAGATGGGTTATCAAGTTTGTTCAAACGAGGGACCAGAATCCAATTTGAAGATCACGGGAGTAAAAAGTTTTAAAAGTTTTAAACAACTTCTTTAGAATAACCAAGAGGTCTAGGGTCATGATGTTTGCCAAATGGCATGCTAGGATGATGAGCTATCAGGTTTGTTCAAATTAGTGTCCTTGGTCTATTATCAAAGTCACAACAGTCAGATGAATTAAACGCTTCAAACCCTTTTTAATAATCAAGAAGTGTATGGTCATTATCCTAGGGCTGAGGCATGCAATAATTAAAAAACAATCAACTTTGTTTAAATAAATCAGAACCTGACCGACTAATTGATGGTCACAAACGATAGATTCCTAACATCATTGAATAACAAGTAAACAATACAATCCCTCTAGGCCTGTTGTTACAGTGAGCATAGAGAATTAACATTATCTCCCTTATGGTAAGAAGTGAGTAACGGAATTAAGAGTTACCTCCCCTATATTTTCAGTGAGCATTATCTCCCCTTCCATTAGAGTGGCAATGTTAAGAGCTTTCTCCCCTACATTTACAGTTAGTACAGGACTGCATTCGCGTGCGTATCTGGTTGAAACGGTTGAACCTGTAAAGAAAAGGAAAATTTGGCACGTGTAGATTGAGGGGTCCCGACGTACCTGACCGAAACTAAAATGCTGACTATTGCTAGTTTGCGTTATTTCTTTTTAAACATTGTCAAGCCACATGTAGTTTTTAAGATACGTTATATAATTCAGTGGATGCGTGAAAGAAGGGCATACTATATATTCTTGATACATTGTTTTTTATTCTCCGAAACTGTGCATTTTTAGCTCTGCTTATAGAACGGTCCGAGTGCGTTCGTTTAACCTGGAATATTTCTGCGCCACGTACTGTTTAAACCAGAATACGCAAATGTAGCCTAGATAATAAGCATTATCTCCCCTTCAGTTAGAGTAGCAATGTCAAGAGTTATCTCCCCTATGTTTACAGTGAGTACAGATGATGACAAGATTGTGTTGTACCACTGGGAGGAACTGAGTGGGCCAATACAGGACCAACAGTTCACAGACAACACTGCCATCCTCAAACTGAAAAAGCTGGCACCAGGCAGTTACCAGTTCAAGTAAGCATTTAGGGAATTTCTTCATTCATTCAACACCAGAAAAGATTTATAAAACTCAGATGATATTGGAAACAGATCAGAGACAAGACAATGATGTTGAAGTAATTGCTTTAATTTATTATCCTTGTTGCACATGTGTGTCAATGTCATTTTGAGGAAAATTGTGAGTATTAGTCTTAAGTGCTCTTGTTATGAACAATGCTATGTATGTTTCATCATATTGTACAAGTGCCGACTCCCAAGATGTTTGGTTAACAGTAGATTGATTATACAATGGACCAGGAGTATCTTAATTAAAAGTTTCAACATGGCAAGACTTGAACAGTTGTAATTTGTTTTTACTAGGTTATCTGTGACTGATTCTGATGGAGCAAAAAACTCAACCATTGCCAACGTCACTGTCATCAAAGGTGAGTCTCATTTCTATACAGCGTTGTCTATTCTAGGTTCACATTTGTAATAGAATTACCCACTGCAGTACATTCTATTATACAAGTTTAATGGTTATTATTTTTTTTACCTCATAACCTGTAAAAAAAATGTAAATGGTAACATTACAGAAAGGATATTAAAGTTTGTGAAATTTCAACTGAGATACAGAAATCTTTCTTAGTGATAAAAGATTTCAGTGTAAAATGTACAGGTTCTGTAAGCCTTTTGCTGTAATATCTTTGTGGTAAACAATGATGTACATTTAATTTCACAGAAGAAGACTACCCTCCTAGAGCCAATGCTGGGTCTGATACCATCATCCGCCTCCCACAGAACACAGTGAAACTGTGTGGAAACATGAGTACTGACGATAAAGGCATCGTCTCCTACGAGTGGATCAAGTCAGCTGATGATAAACTCACCGCAGACATGTCTGTAAGTCAGGTTATAGTTCTAGACATCTCCTATAACATACTACACGTAGGACATCTTAGTGATTCTAGTGCTGTCTTGTGCTCAGTAACTTTACATACATGCCAGATTTCTTGGAGACATATCGGTGAGTTTTACATCCATTTTTAAGGAATTTTAAAAGTCACGTGACCATTACTCTAGTGCTCTAATGTATTGTCATTCAAAACACTGTGGAATTTGGTACTCTTGTAAACAACTGTGGGAAATTGTTTACATCAATCATCACAAAATGTGAGGTTATAAAGACTTCACTAACTTCATGTTCCGTACTTTGAGACTTTATTAAAAATGAAAATCTGTGAGATTTTACCTCATGCAGTGAGATCTGGCATGTATGATTTTAGTGATGTCGTTACCTTAGCTGTTGTGAAGCTCAAAACCAAATGAACAGATTACAAGTCTCGTGCACCTAATATGACTACTGTATACAGGGAAAGTTTTGCCACAGTTTAGCTTTTGCCTTTTTAACACTCAACAATGAGGTTGAATTTATTATAACAATGAATATTAGTATACAATATACCATATATTGTAATAACACATGAAAGGGAAAATCAACACGGGGTTAATATAGATTTAACCAGTAAAGGTAAAATATTTGACCGGGTAAACGTTTCCTCGCATACAGTACCTGTTGTGTGATGGTTTTTGATGAGAATTGTTTCTGGTTTGAGTAGCTGTTGTTTGATGTAACTGTCTCACCTCGAACTGATTTTGTCTCCTTTATGAATAACTTATTTGACCTTGTTTATCTCCAGGGTGTGAGATCCACCTGTCTTACACTGTCAAATCTACAGGAGGGGGATTATGCCTTCACTCTAAAGGTCACAGACACAGCTCAGCAAACCTCCTCGGCAGAAGTCCATGTTTTTGTTAAAGCTGGTGAGTGCAGGCCCTGTCACTGCCTATATTATATATATAGTTACTGTGTATAAGTTGCAGGAACACTTTATCTCCATTTTTATCTACTGTGATAAGAGAAAATGCTGAATTTAAAACTTTGTGCCAAACTTTTTCTTTATTGAAGTTCAACCTATTTATGACATGTCATCCTCACAGGCCTGTCAGGGTGACAACTGAGATATATTGCTTTAGTAATAGAGATTTTTCTAGTGGCATTTCAAAGGACTTAACGTCTTTAAAGGAGTAATTTTGATTGAAAGGTGCAAGATTATTTTCAAATATTTCCATTTCTGTACAGTTTTAATCATTATCTGATTAACAAGATTACTGAATGTACATAATAGTCAATAACACAGTTACATGTATGTAGGTATGAGTGTTAGCCAGAGAAAGTATATCCACACTTTTCCTGATGTCAGGTTTATAGAATCTTTCCCCCAGTTTAGAGTGAGATAGAGGGATCTCAAGTTGAGAGGGGAGATCCTTAGTTGCCAAACACCAGGCTTGCTGAGTGTTTGTCAACCTGAGAGTCTTTCCCCGAGTGTTGAGATTCTCCTATCTAGACCCGAGGGGATGAATGATTCTTCTCTTACCCTGTTGATCCTGTCATGTAAATAATACAATACAGATATTAAGGGCTGCATTCATTTCAGCGCTTAACCCATTCACCACTGTAACCATAATGGACTCATCCAGATCAATGCATGGTAGAGTCTACTAAAGTTACGTAGGGGTGAAAGGGTTAATACAGACCCTCATGTCCATGCTTGATTTGTCTCTGCTAAGAAGAAACAGAACTTCCAGTTCTTTGGTAATATTTAGATTTATATTGAAACAAGCATTCACTTTCTTTGATTACAGAGGTGAACAAGCCGCCAGTGGCTGTGACAGGGTTCCGTAAGACAGTCAACCTCCCTCTGGAATATATCGTCCTGGACGGCAGTAAGAGCTCCGATGACAAGGCTATTACAAATTACCAGTGGATGATGATCAAGTAAGTTTTAATTCTGGAACATAATCTTACTCCACTTAACTTTGTAGGACAGTTTGGTTTGTTCTGTGTTGTACATCCTATTAACAGCTATGGTCATTTAAGGACATGCAAGGTTTTGGTGATGGAGGCCAGTACCTGGCGACTGCCCCACGTAGGTCTCGAACCTGCGACCGTGTGGTGAAGGACTAGTGGTAGCAGAATGTCAGACGCCTTAACCACTCGGCCACCGCGACCCAGTGGTGGAGGGCTAGTGGTAGCAGAATGTCAGACGCCTTAACCACTCGGCCACCGCGACCCAGTGGTGGAGGGCTAGTGGTAGTAGAATGTCAGATGCCTTAACCACTCGACCATCGCGGCCCAGTGGTGGAGGGCTAGTGGTAGTAGAATGTCAGACGCCTTAACCACTCGGCCACCGCGACCCAGGGGTGGAGGGCTAGTGGTAGTAGAATGTTAGACGCCTTAACCACTCGGCCACCGCGACCCAGTGGTGGAGGGCTAGGGGTAGTAGAATGTCAGACGCCTTAACCACTCGGCCACCGCGGCCCCAGTAGGACTGACTATTTCACTAGGATGTGAACAAATTAAGGTTTATCATGTGTCTTGAGCACAAATGAATTTTAGAGTTGTTTTAACTAACTTTTTTTTTCTACAGTGGGCCTCCCGATGTGACATTGGAGGATTCCACTAAAGCCATCGCCAAGGTGACAGGGAACATTGCTACTGGTCAGTACCATTTCACCCTCACTGTCGCCGACAAGGAGGAGCTCCACTCAACAGCTCAACTCTTCATCATTGTTGAAGAAAGTAAGTAATTAAATGATTCAAAACAATGTTGTAGATCAACTACTGGTCATTGTTAAAGGTTGAAGAGATATAGTTCTAAGCAACACAATACAGTTGTTCTATTTTTGGTAGAGCAAATTTCCAACGAGTTAGTTTCCTAAAACAGAATTTGTTAGATAAGTACACCTGTAGAATATAAGCATAGCATAAGAGGTCAGATTGATTTACTAATTATTGAATGCTAAATGATAATTTTAAAGCTACAATTATAATTATTAACTTAATTACATTGCTCAAGTTTCACAAAATATTACCAAAGTGATGAATTTTATGACAGTTGGGCCAGGGAGATGTAATTCAACACTTTTTGTATTGATCAGGATAAAGATCTGGCATTTATTATGTCAAAAATGAGTATTAGACCTAATGATGAAGTGTTTGCTACAGATATAAATGAAGCACCTGTTGCTAAGGCTGGGAAGGATCAGGTTGTTACTCTCCCCCACAGCCTCGTCGAAATAGACGGGTCCCGGTCACAGGATGACAAGTCCATCAAGGACTACACGTGGACCCGCAACTCCAAGAGCCTGGCTGCAGGAGTGAGTAGTTGGAGAAGATTTATGATAAAGTTAATTAAGTTTTTTGTATATCTAGAGGCAGGTATAGCTCTATAGAGAAACAGTTAATATATAAAGATATTTATTGACAGACAGTTGATGTATTCAAATCTCTTAAGACACAATGTTGATATACACAGGTTTTATAATAATGTACAATAACATACAACATTTGATAAAGCACTCAATCTAGCTAACATAAGCCACTCTAAAGCGCTTTGCAGTACATATATATACAATTAATACATTTAGCATATATGCATTAACCAATTCAATTTTTAGGAATTCGCAGGAGCTGCCTTATAAGGCGCTTACTACTAGTCCTTTGCCACCTGGTTATTATCTCCCTATGTGTGTATGCCTGCGTGTGTGCTGGAGATGTATTGTGTTCTGTTTGTTGTGGGACAGTGCTTCCAACAGTATCATTTATAGTGCCACCTCACTTGAATACTACAGCAAAGATACTGCAACATTCACCCCTGACCATTTTATACTCTTCCTGGGTTGTTGGAGTTGTATTGGCAGGAGAAAAACACTTTTTCTAATATTCCATGCGTGCGACGACTTCGGGGATCGAACCCTGGCCGCCTGCGTGGAAGGCCGGAGTGTTAACCACTCAACCAATCCGTCCATAACAGATAGACATACAGACAAATAGTTCATATCTATAGATCTCTATAGAGAGATAGTTGATATATACAGGATTAATACACAGATAGTTGATATATACAGGGTTAATACACAGATAGTCAATATATACAGGGTTAATACATAGATAGTCGATATATACAGGGTTAATACACAGATAGTCAATATATACAGGGTTAATACATAGATAGTTGATATATACAGGGTTAATACATAGATAGTCAATATATACAGGGTTAATACACAGATAGTTGATATATACAGGGTTAATACACAGATAGTCGATATATACAGGGTTAATACACAGATAGTTGATATATACAGGGTTAATACACAGATAGTTGATATATACAGGGTTAATACACAGATAGTTGATATATACAGGGTTAATACACAGATAGTTGATATATACAGGGTTAATACACAGATAGTTGATATATACAGGGTTAATACACAGATAGTTGATATATACAGGGTTAATACACAGATAGTTGATATATACAGGGTTAATACACAGATAGTTGATATATACAGGGTTAATACACAGATAGTTGATATATACAGGGTTAATACACAGATAGTTGATATATACAGGGTTAATACACAGATAGTTGATATATACAGGGTTAATACACAGATAGTTGATATATACAGGGTTAATACACAGATAGTTGATATATACAGGGTTAATACACAGATAGTTGATATATACAGGGTTAATACACAGATAGTTGATATATACAGGGTTAATACACAGATAGTTGATATATACAGGGTTAATACACAGATAGTTGATATATACAGGGTTAATACACAGATAGTTGATATATACAGGGTTAATACACAGATAGTTGATATATACAGGGTTAATACACAGATAGTTGATATATACAGGGTTAATACACAGATAGTTGATATATACAGGGTTAATACACAGATAGTTGATATATACAGGGTTAATACACAGATAGTTGATATATACAGGGTTAATACACAGATAGTTGATATATACAGGGTTAATACACAGATAGTTGATATATACAGGGTTAATACACAGATAGTTGATATATACAGGGTTAATACACAGATAGTTGATATATACAGGGTTAATACACAGATAGTTGATATATACAGGGTTAATACACAGATAGTTGATATATACAGGGTTAATACACAGATAGTTGATATATACAGGGTTAATACACAGATAGTTGATATATACAGGGTTAATACACAGATAGTTGATATATACAGGGTTAATACACAGATAGTTGATATATACAGGGTTAATACACAGATAGTTGATATATACAGGGTTAATACACAGATAGTTGATATATACAGGGTTAATACACAGATAGTTGATATATACAGGGTTAATACACAGATAGTTGATATATACAGGGTTAATACACAGATAGTTGATATATACAGGGTTAATACACAGATAGTTGATATATACAGGGTTAATACACAGATAGTTGATATATACAGGGTTAATACACAGATAGTTGATATATACAGGGTTAATACACAGATAGTTGATATATACAGGGTTAATACACAGATAGTTGATATATACAGGGTTAATACACAGATAGTTGATATATACAGGGTTAATACACAGATAGTTGATATATACAGGGTTAATACACAGATAGTTGATATATACAGGGTTAATACACAGATAGTTGATATATACAGGGTTAATACACAGATAGTTGATATATACAGGGTTAATACACAGATAGTTGATATATACAGGGTTAATACACAGATAGTTGATATATACAGGGTTAATACACAGATAGTTGATATATACAGGGTTAATACACAGATAGTTGATATATACAGGGTTAATACACAGATAGTTGATATATACAGGGTTAATACACAGATAGTTGATATATACAGGGTTAATACACAGATAGTTGATATATACAGGGTTAATACACAGATAGTTGATATATACAGGGTTAATACACAGATAGTTGATATATACAGGGTTAATACACAGATAGTTGATATATACAGGGTTAATACACAGATAGTTGATATATACAGGGTTAATACACAGATAGTTGATATATACAGGGTTAATACACAGATAGTTGATATATACAGGGTTAATACACAGATAGTTGATGTATACAGGATTAATACATAGATAGTTGATATATACAGGGTTAATACACAGATAGTTGATATGTACATGGTTAATACACTGATAGTTGATATGTACAGGGTTAATACACAGAAAGGGGATATATACAGGGTTAATACACAGATAGTTGATATATACAGGGTAAATACACAGATAGTTGATATATACATGGTTAATACATAGATAGTCGATATAAACAGGGTTAATACATAGATAGTTGATATATACAGGGTTAATACACTGATAGTTGATATATACAGGATTAATACACAGTTAGTTGATATATACATGATTAATACACAGTTAGTTGATATATACAGGGTTAATACACTGATAGTTGATATATACAGGGTTAATACACTGATAGTTGATATGTACATGGTTAATACACAGATAGTCGATATATACAGGGTTAATACATAGATAGTTGATATATACAGGGTTAATACAGAGATAGTTGATATATACAGGATTAATACATAGATAGTTGACAGATAGTTGATATATACAAGGTTAATACATAGATAGTCGCTATCTACAGGGTTAATACACAGATAGTTGATATATACAGGGTTGATACAGAGATAGTGGATATATACAGGGTTAATACATAGATAGTTGATATATACAGGGTTAATACACAGATAGTCAATATATACAGGGTTAATACATAGATAGTCGATATAAACAGGGTTAATACACAGATAGTTGATATATACAGGATTAATACATAGATAGTTGACAGATAGTTGATATATACAAGGTTAATACATAGATAGTCGCTATCTACAGGGCTAATACACAGATAGTTGATATATACAGGGTTGATACACAGATAGTTGATATATACAGGGTTAATAAACAGATAGTTGATATATACAGGGTTAATACACATATAGTTGATATATACAGGGTTAATACACAGATAGTTAATATATACAGGGTTAATACACAGATAGTCAATATATACAGGGTTAATACATAGATAGTCGATATAAACAGGGTTAATACACAGATAGTTGATATATACAGGATTAATACATAGATAGTTGACAGATAGTTGATATATACAAGGTTAATACATAGATAGTCGCTATCTACAGGGTTAATACACAGATAGTTGATATATACAGGATTAATACATAGATAGTTGACAGATAGTTGATATATACAAGGTTAATACATAGATAGTCGCTATCTACAGGGCTAATACACAGATAGTTGATATATACAGGGTTGATACACAGATAGTTGATATATACAGGGTTAATACTCAGATAGTTGATATATACAGGGTTAATACACAGTTAGTTGATATATACAGGGTTAATACACAGATAGTTGAAATATACAGGGTTAATACACAGATAGTCGATATATGCAGGGTTAATACATAGACAGTTGATATATACAGGGTTAATACACAGATAGTTGAAATATCCAGGGTTAATACACAGATAGTCGATATATACAGGTTTAATACATAGATAGTCGATATATACAGGGTTAATACACAGATAGTTAATATATACATGGTTAATACACAGATAGTTGATATATACAGAATTAATACATAGATAGTTGAAATATACAGGGTTAATACACAGATAGTCGATATATGCAGGGTTAATACATAGACAGTTGATATATACAGGGTTAATACACAGATAGTGGATATATACAGGGTTTATACATAGATAGTTGATATATACAGGGTTAATACTCAGATAGTTGATATATACAGGGTTAATACACAGATTGCCAATATATACAGGGTTAATCCATAGATAGTCAATATATACAGGGTTAATACATAGATAGTCGATATATACAGGGTTAATACACAGATAGTCGATATAGACAGGGTTAATACATAGATAGTTGATATATACATGGTTAATACACAGATAGTTGATATGTACATGGTTAATACACAGATAGTCGATATATACAGGGTTAATACATAGATAGTCGATATAAACAGGGTTAATACACAGATAGTTGATATATACAGGTCTTAATGACTATTTGACTATTAAAGGATGTGTTAAATGGATCAGATCACCAGGCTGTGCTCCAGCTGACAAACCTATACAGGGTTAATACACAGATAGTTGATATATGCAGGGTTAATACACAGTTAGTTGATATATACAGGGTTAATACACAGATAGGGGATATATACATGGTTAATACACAGATAGTTGATATGTACATGGTTAATACACAGATAGTCGATATATACAGGGTTAATACATAGACAGTTGATATATACAGGGTTAATACACAGATAGTGGATATATACAGGGTTTATACATAGATAGTTGATATATACAGGGTTAATAGACAGATAGTTGATATATACAGGGTTAATACACAGTTAGTTGATATATACAGGGTTAATACACAGATAGTGGATATATACAGGGTTAATACATAGATAGTTAATATATACAGGGTTAATACACAGATAGTCAATATATACAGGGTTAATACATAGATAGTTGATATATAGAGGGTTAATACACAGATAGTTGATATATACAGGATTAATACATAGATAGTTGATATATACAGGGTTAATACACAGATAGTTGATATATACAGGTCTTAATGACTATTTGACTATTACAGGATGTGTTAAATGGATCAGATCACCAGGCTGTGCTCCAGCTGACAAACCTTGTGGCGGGACGTTACATCTTTACACTAAAGGTGACTGATGAAGAAGGCCTGGAGAGCTCAGACTCCGCATCCCTTGTGGTCAAAGATGGTAAGTTTGGGTCAAAGGTAGTTAGTGGAAGGAGTTGGACGTTATCAGACTGGACAGTTGGGCGGTGAATATTGCTAACTTGGGTGATATTTTTCTCTTGTAACAAAATTGGAGGAGATTTGGGGTTCTGTCTGTGCATGTGTGTGGGAACAATTTTGTCATTGCTTTAGTTCCTTCATTTCTCGATGATTTTTACAAGTGGTAGTAAGGACAATACATCAAATGAGTTCACCTTTCAGGGAGGTGTGCCCACACTCAAGGTCACTTATTTATACACATTGTCATCACTAGTGATTTCATTTCTCAATATATTTTGATTATTCTAGGAGTTAGATACAATGATATCACAAACTTATATCAAAATCCAATGAGACCTGGATACGCTATTATAACAGGGTATGAGAAATCTGCAAATAAAACAGGGTGCAAGTTTGTATTTTTCCACATCAGTGTAAATCTTTGGAGCAAATGCTGACTTACTCTTCTCTGACTCCTGTGAATATTTTATTTACATTGATAATATATGCGTATTTACTCTGTGATTTTCAGATCCACATGCTTATGATCTCATGGAACTCCTCATCGATGCAGAAATTAAGCAGTTTACTGAGGAAGACAAGGTAAGTCGTACATCATTATCAGAAACGGAAATGGCCAGAGAAACGATCTTTGTGATCTGTTGGTGATAAGGATGTACTGTGATTAATATGTTGTACAAGAACAGATTAGGTCAACCTTATAGATCCTACAGCTGTTAAATATGATGTTAGATCAGTTATATTAATGTTAGAAGTATAAGAATCTTCACTGAATTCTTTTTACAACAGTAGAGTGTTGTATTATGAGGAGTTCTTTTCACACAACCAATATGTGTTTCTATGTGACGTTTCGATGACTAGTACGATATGTACACTGTCACCTTCATCAGACAAATGACCAGTGAAGAATATGTACAAAGAGGTGAAAAATGTGTTTAGCTGTCCATAAAATTGATGTCGATTTCGGCTACGCTGGAAACGTGTGTACAATAGTTGTTATATATGTACCGAAATGACTCAATTCAGCTACGCTTTGTTAACACTCGGTCATAGATGGTGCGAGAGTCTTTGAGCCCCCTCGTCTTGATTTTGAACTGGCCCACTGCGGCTGATGAAGGTGACATATTGTACTAGTCATCAAAATGTCTTATAGAAAATTGTACTGGTTGTGTAAAAAGAACTTCTCATAATCCATACTTACCAACATGAAGAAAATGTTTAGAAATATGTGAAGTGTTGTATGTATGGGTTTGAAGGTTAAAGTATCTTACTTTGGTATATCCAAGTACTCTTATACAATAAGGACCATTTATCAACACACTGTCATAATTTTTGTTCATCAATTACATCAGATTCTGCTTTCTCTTGACAAGTGTAGGCAACATATCTACTTCCAGGGAAATATTATCTTATATCAATAACTGAGAAAAAGTGTAGACTTACCAGTTTTAATAAAAGCCTGGTTGTAAGTTTTCTGACGGTCCTTGTCCATACACTGTAAATTGAATGCATGTTGTTACAGGCAAATCTACAACATGAGTTGACCTTGTTGCTGCCAAAGTCCACAAAAGGGGACACCATGGTACAGATAGTGGACCTGGGGATAGACAGAAGTCTAGGCGCGTGAGTATACACACTGCTTTAGGGGGAGGGGAGGGGATAGAAGTCAGGGCGCGTGAGAATACACACAACTTGAGGGGGAGGGGGAGGTGATAGCAGTAAGGGCGCGTGAGTATACACACGGCTTTAGGGGGAGGGGGAGGTGATTCAAGTCAGGGCACGTGAGTATAAACACTGCCTTAGGGGGAGGGGGAGGAGATACAAGTCAGGGCACGTGAGTATAAACACTGCCTTAGGGGGAGGGGGAGGTGACCTTGTTGCTGCCAAAGTCCACAAAAGGGGACACCATGGTATAGATAGTGGACCTGGGGATAGACAGAATTCTAGGCACGTGAGTATACACACTGCCTTAAGGGGAGGGGAGGTGATACAAGTCAGGGTGCGTGGTACAGATAGTGGACCTGGGGATAGACAGAATTCTAGGCACGTGAGTATACACACTGCCTTAGGGGGAGGGGGAGGTGATAGAAATCAGGGTGCGTGAGTATACATACTACTTTAGGGGAAGGGGCAGGTGATAGAAGAGTCTGGGTGTGGTAGTATACACACTGCTTTAGGGGGAAGGGAGGTGATACAAGTCAGGATGCGTGAGTATACACACTACTTAATGGGGAGGTGATATAATTCAGGGCGCGTGAGTATACACACGGCTTTAGGGGGAGGGGGAGGTAACAGAAGTCTAGGCGCGTGAGTATACCACTGCTTCAGGGGGAGGGGAGGTGATAGAAGTCAGGCCGCGTGAGTATACACACTGCTTTGGGGGGAGGGGAGGGGGAGGTGATAGAAATCAGGGTGCGTGAGTATACATACTACTTTAGGGGAAGGGGCAGGTGATAGAAGAAGTCAGGGCGTGTGAGTATACACACTACTTTAGTGGGAGGTGATAGAAGTCAGGGCGGGTGAGTATACACACTACTTTAGTGGGAGGTGATAGAAGTCAGGGCGGGTGAGTATACACACTACTTTAGTGGGAGGTGATAGAAGTCAGGGTGCGTGAGTATTCACACTGCTTTAGGGGGGGGGGGGGTTGGTAGAAGTCAGGGCGCGGGAGTATACACACTACTTCAGAGGGAGGGGGAGGTGATAGAAGTCGGGGGCGTGAGTATACACACTACTTAATGGGGAGGGGATAGAAGTCAGGGCGCTTGAGTATACACACTACTTTAGTGGGAGGTGATAGAAGTCAGGGTGCGTGAGTATTCACACTGCTTTAGGGGGAGGGGGGGGTGATAGAAGTCAGGGCGCGGGAGTATACACACTGCTTTAGGGAGGGGGAGGTGACAGAAGTCTGGGCGCGTGAGTATACACACTGGTTTAGGGGGAGGGGGAGGTGATTCAAGTCAGGGCACGTGAGTATAAACACTGCCTTAGGGGGAGGGGGAGGAGATAGAAATCAGGGTGCGTGAGTATACATACTACTTTAGGGGAAGGGGCAGGTGATAACTTAATGGGGAGGTGATAGAAGTCAGGGCGCTTGAGTATACACACTACTTTAGTGGGAGGTGATAGAAGTCAGGGTGCGTGAGTATTCACACTGCTTTAGGGGGAGGGGGGGGTGATAGAAGTTAGGGCGCTTGAGTATACACACTACTTTAGTGGGAGGTGATAGAAGTCAGGGCACGTGAGTATAAACACTGCCTTAGGGGGAGGGGGAGGAGATAGAAGATAGGGCGCTTGAGTATACACACTACTTTAGTGGGAGGTGATAGAAGTCAGGGTGCGTGAGTATTCACACTGCTTTAGGGGAAGGGGGGGGTGATAGAAGTCAGGGCGCGCGAGTTTACACACAACTTAAGAGGGAGGGCGAGTTGATAGAAGTCAGGACGCGTGAGTATACACGCTGCTTTAGGGGGAGGGGGAGGTGATAGAAGTCAGGGCGCGCGAGTATACACACAACTTAAGAGGGAGGGTGAGTTGATAGAAGTCAGGACGCGTGAGTATTCACACTGCTTTAGGGGGAGGGGGAGGTGACAGAAGTCTAGGCGCGTGAGTATACCACTGCTTTAGGGGGAGGGGAGGTGATAGAAGTCAGGGTGCGTGAGTATACACACTGCTTTAGGGGGAGGGGAAATGATAGAAGTCAGGGTGCGTGAGTATACACACTACTTTAGGGGGAGGGGCAGGTGATAGAAGAAGTCAGGGCGTGTGAGTATACACACTGCTTTAGGGGGAGGGGGAAGTGATACAAGTCAGGCACATCAGTATACACACAACTTAAGGGGGAGGGGGAGGTGATAGAAGTCAGGGTGCGTGAGTATACATACTACTTTAGGGGGAGGGGCAGGTGATAGAAGAAGTCAGGGCGTGTGAGTATAAAAACTGCTTTAGGGGGAGGGGGAAGTGATACAAGTCAGGCACATCAGTATACACACAACTTAAGGGGGAGGGGGAGGTGATAGAAGTCAGGGTGCGTGAGTATACATACTACTTTAGGGGGAGGGGCAGGTGATAGAAGAAGTCAGGGCGTGTGAGTATAAAAACTGCTTTAGGGGG